GGCAGAGGAAAGGGAGGCCCTGATCGTGAAAGTACATACACAGTTGGGGCACTATGCCGTGGAACGGACCGTACAGATGCTGCAGACCATGTACTGGTGGGCGGCCTGAGAAGAGAAGTGAAGGAAGTGCTGGCCAGATGTGAGCCATGCAGCCAGAGCAAGGCAAAGCTGGAGCGAACCAAGGCAGAGCTGCAGTCTCTACCCATCGGTTCAATCGGGTATCGCTGGTCCTTAGACATGGTGGGGGAAATGCCGCTATCTCGGCGAGGCAAGCAATACATTCCGTGATGATCGAGCTCACGAGCAAGTGGATAGAGGTGGCAGCACTGGCATGGAAGACAGCAGCAGCAGTGGCAAAGGCTTTCACCCAGCAAGTCGTAACCAGGTCGGCGCATGTGGGGAAGTTCTGACGGACAAGGGTGGAGAATTTGCGGGAGAATTCCACGGCCTGCTGCAAGAGGTGGGCATCACCCAGCGGCGGACTTCACGGTACCATCCCCGGGCTGATGGCCTGACAGAGTGAATGGTCCAGACTCTGAAGATGGGCCTGAGGAAGTACTGCAAGGAGGAAGAGCAAAGGGAGTGGGACCAACATCTGCCGTGGGTGGCGGCGGGGTATCGCTTCAGCAAACAGCAGGCTCTGAAGGATTATTCCCCGTACTATCTGGTTTTCGGGAAGGAGCCAGTGCTGCCGGTGGACGCTCCACTGATAATGGTGCAGTCGGTGTCCACTGACGACCCGCGCACCTGGGCGGCGGTGGCAGCCAGATGCGCTAGCTACCTCCGCAGCGTGCTGCCAGCAGCCTTGGAAAATCTGGAAGTGGCGCAGCTCCGTGATGCTCGATGCTACCGACAGCGGAAGGAAGGAGTAGGTGGAGGACCTAGGCATGGGACTGAGCTGCAAATTGGGGATGAGGTGTACCTGAAGGAGCCGCGGCATAATACGCTGGAGTGTGGCCTGAGTAAGCAGCGGTGGGTCGTGCGCAGGAAGGAGGAGTCGGGGGTCCTGACACTACAGAATGCGCCAGGGAGGTCGGTTCAGGATCATGTGACGAATGTCGCCCGAGCATCCGGTTCGCGACCAAGCAGCGGGGGCGCAGGGCAGACCGAGAGGGGGCATGAGTCAGGGGAGTCGAAACTCATCACATACAAGCGTAGGGAAGGCAAAGAATCTTAGGAACCAGGTTAGGCATTGCAGATGAGAGCTGCGGGGAGGGGAGGAGGCTATGCGACAGCTGTCGCATGAACCTCGTTGTACCCGTTACCGAGTTTTATGGACAGCGCGGGAGGTGCAGGTGCGGAATTAGAGGTTCGGAAAATGTTGTAAGCAAGTGTATATAGTGTACATAGCCGACGAATCTTTCAATAAAGGTACAGTGATGGGCGAGCTGGGAGCGGTTGGCCAGCTGGGAAGGAAGCAGGTTGGGGCATGACACGTAAGTAAGCATGAGGAGCGGTTTGGGCAGTAAAATCAGCGAATGAGAGAGGTGAGTCGATGGCAGGAATCAGGGTGAATGAGGCATGAGAGTGCGAAAGCATCAAAAGCTGTTATGTTGATATGCAATAAGAATCTGGTGACAGGTTTTGACAAAGGAACCTGACTAAGGGTGAATCTGACAATGGGGATTCGACTGTGAATTCCTGAGATGGGAATCTGACAATGAGGTCAGTCATGGAACGTCGGCACTGGGAATTGTAGACGGGAATCTAAAATTACAATTCTGACAATAGAGAACTGACTACGGGGGATTGGGGAATACGAACCTGACATGGAAAAATGAAGCGGGAACATGACATGAGTATATGCCATGGCTATCTAACAACGGAAATCTGACAATGGGAATCATCTGGCTCAGAAATCTGACATAGAATTCTGACAGTCAGCATCTGACAGTAATAATTGAACAACGGGGAATATATAGGATTCGAGCAGCTGGAACGTAGTCAGCTGGAATCTGGGGAAAAAAGAAGAATGAAGTGAGAATCTGACCACGGGAATTGGAAATGGAATGTGGCTGTGGGTGAATGTGACAATGAGATTCTGACAGATGAATCTGATATGGAAATCTGGCAACGGAAGTCTGACATGGAAAGTTGGCACTAAGAATTGGAAATGGGAATCTGAAAGCGGGAATCTGAGATTGGAAATGACAATGGGAAAAAGATTATACGTACCTGACACGCAAAACTAATATAACATGGGTATACGAGAGCATACGTGACAACGGGAATCAGACCTGGGGCTTGGGAATCTGACTTAAGGATCTGACCTGGGAATCTCACCTAAAAAAACTGACCTGGGAATCTGACCTGGAAAAATGACGTGGGAATCTGGCTTGGGAATCTGACTTGGATAGCTGACTTGGGATTCTGACTAGGAAATCGAACTTGGGAATCTCACCTGGAAATCTCTTGCCGAATCTGACTTGGGAATCTGACTGATTTCGGAAACTGACAGACCTTGGAATCTGACTTGGGGATCTAACCTAGGAATCTGATCCAGGAATCTGACCTGGGATTGTGACCAGGGAATGTGACCTGGGAATCTGATTTGGGAATGCGACTTGGTAATCCGACTTGGGATTCTGACTCGGAAATCTGACTTGAAAATCTCACCTGGGAATTTGACAGGATCATTATGGGATCCTGATAAAGGGAAAGAAAATTTGGAGTGAGATTACTATGCTCATGGCAATAATTGGGAATCTGACCTGGAAATCTGGCTCAAGAATCAGACTTGGGATTCTGACTTGCGAATCAGACTAGGGAATCTGACTTGGGAATCTCACCTGGGAATCTCATCTGGGAATCTCACCTGGAAATCTGACCTGGGAGTCTAACCTGGGAATCTGACTTGGGAAGCTTACTTGGGCATCTGACTCTGGAATATCACGTGGGAATTTCACCTGGGAATCTGACTCGGGAATCTGACTTGGAAATCTGACTCGGGAATCTGACTCAGGAATCTCTCCTGGGAATCTAACCTGGGAATTTGACTTGGGAATCTGACTTGGGAATTTCAATTAGGAATCTGACTTGGGGGAATCTGATTCGGGAACATCACCTGCGAACCTCACGTGGGAATCTGACCTGGGAATGTGACCTTGGGAATCTGACCTGGGCATCTGACCAGGGAATCAGACCTGGAAATGTGACCTGGGAATCTGACTTGGGAATCGGACTCAGGAATCTCACCTGGGAATCTGACCTGGAAATCTGACCAGGAAATCCGACCTGGGAATCTGACTTGGGGGAATCTGATACGGGAACATCAACTGCGAATCTCACATGGGGATGTGACCTGGGAATCTGACCTGGGAATGTGACCTTGGGAATCTGACCTGGGCAGCTGACCTGGGAATACGACCTGGGAAGGTGACCTGGGAAACTGACTGACTTGGGAATGTGACCTGGGAATCTGACCTGGGAATATTATTTTTAGAATCTGACTTGAGAATCTGACTCAGGAATCTCACCAGGGAATCTCACCAGGGAAATCTCACCTGGGAATCTCACCTAGGATTCTCACCTGGAAATCTGACCTGGAAATCTGACCTGGGAATCTGACCTGGAAATCTGACCTGGGAATCTGACCTGGGAATCTGACATGGGAATCTGTCTTGGGAATCGTACTTTGGAATCCGACTAGGGAATCTGACTCAAGAATCTCACCTGGGAATCCGACCTGGGAATCCGACTTGGGAATCCGACAGACCTGGGAAACTGACTGACTTGGGAATGTGACCTGGGAATCTGACCTGGGAATATGATTTTTAGAATCTGACTTGAGAATCTGACTCAGGAATCTCACCAGGGAATCTCACCTGGTAATCTCACCTAGGAATCTCACCTAGGATTCTCACCTGGAAATCTGACCTGGAAATCTGACCTGGGAATCTGACCTGGAAATCTGACCTGGGAATCTGACCTGGGAATCTGAGTTGGGAATCTGACCTGGGAATCTTACTTGGGAATCCGACTAGGGAATCTGACTCAGGAATCTCGCCTGGGAATCCGACCTCGGAATCTGACTTGGGAATCTGACTTGGGAATTTCACATAGGAATCTGACTTGGGGGAATCTGACTCGGGAACATCACTGCGAATCTAACATGGGAATGTGACCTGGGAATATGACCTGGGAATGTGACCTTGGGACTCTGACCTGGTCAGCTGACCTAGGAATATGACCTGGGAATGTGACCTGGGAATCTGACTCCGACTGACCTGGGAAACTGACTAACTTGGGAATGTGACCTGGGAATCTGACCTGGGAATATGACTTGGGAATCTGACTCAGGAATCTCACCATGGAATCTCACTTGAGAATCTCACTTGGGAATCTCACCTGGGATTCTCACCTGGGAATCTGACCTGGAAATCTGACCTGGGAATCTGACTTGGGAATCTGAATTGGGAATCTGACTTGGGAATCCGACTAGGGAATCTTACTCAGGAATCTCACCTGGGAATCTGACCAGGGAATCTGACTTGGGAATCTGGCTTGGGATTTGGACATAGGAATCTGACTTGGGATTCTGACTCGGGAACATCACCTAGGAATCTCACCCGGGAATGTGACCTGGGAATCTGACCTGGGAATGTGACCTTGGGAATCTGACCTGGGCATCTGACCAGGGAATCTGACCTGGGAATGTGACCTGGGAAACTGACTGACTATGTGACCTGGGAATCTCACCTCAAAATCTCACCTGGGAATCTGACCTGGGGACGTGACCTGGGAATCTGACCTGGGAATCTGACCTGGGAATCTGACCTGGGAATCTGACCTGGGAATCTGACCTGGGAATCTGACCTGGGAATCTGACCTGGGAATCTGACCTTGGGAACATTCATTGCCACCTGGCAGCTGTTCATAGGCTGCGATGGCGAGGGGAGGGTGGGAGGGGAGATAGCAGGGCAGGAGGGACGAGGGTTGAGGATAGTAGTAGGGAGGCGGGCGTAGGAAAGGGGGAAGGAAGCTGCTTGGAGCTAGCCTCCTGTGCAGACGACCATTCTGTAAGGTTGTTTCAAATCAACGGGCATTCTGTGTATCAGCGGCACTCTTTCTTTATCTGGTGTAATTTCCTATCCTACCTGTAGCGGCTCAATGCCCAGCTTCCATATCGTAATTTGAAGAGACTCTAAACAGGATGCATGGACAAGGACAGCGTGGCCTTTTGCATGAAAAGTTTTGTATGGAAGCAACTTCAAAAACACCAACTAGTAAATGATTACTACCAGAAGTTTGTACACGGAACAAGGCATTTCTCCAAACCACTACCCCCCCCTCCGTAAACCCCAGCTAGTTGCTGGAGCCTCCAGCCAAGCACCGTCACACTAATGCGTTGCTCCACCCAGTCCAGTACAGATAGCTCTACCCAGGAACGCGTAATCTAGACACATGCGAGCACCAAGGAAAACACAATAGTTGGAGAAAATCTCGCGAATCTCACGAATCCCGTCTCGCGCGATTATATTCCAATTTTCGCTGCGGAACGGGATTCGCGAGATTTTCTCCAATAGTTGTAGGGCCTACGGAGCTGATCAGCCTTTTCGCACAAACGCTTTGATTCCGGCAGGCGGGTCAGTACGGCGACTGCAGAGCGTCCACACCATGAACGATCAGAAACTTCCCTTTGAAAATCTCAGGGTCCGTCCCAAAAATTGGGGGCCGGAAACCTATGCACCTGCTTCGCACGTTCGCGGAAGTGCTATGCACCTACTATGCTCGTGAAGGCTATGTCTAAACGTGTTCATCAGTGAAGCATAAACATAGTTCCGAAATGCAAAGCTCATACAAAGCACCTACTTAGTGCGAGGAATGTCGAGGTGCATTGCGTTTACATTGTCCATGCTGATCGTCGTGCTATGATGTTGCGCTAGACGTAGCATGCGCTATGCATGTGCTTTGTGTGCTTTCGTCATTGCTATGTTGATGCTATGCAGACACATAGTATTTCAAGCCTGAAGCATTCCCGCCACAATTCATGTTGTTTTATATCTAGTACACTAGGTGCAGTAATTCTGTATTTACATATTCATATAACATCTTGATTGCACAAATAAAAAATACAACAAAATTGAACTACAAATTCAGCACTTCCGTAGCTCGATTTCGGGAAGGTGACAAATCATGAGAACGGGATAAAAGCGGTGACATGGAAGCGGATCCCGTTCAACGGCTATTTCCACCATGCCTTCAAATTTGCTTCATCAAGGTCGTGACTGGGTTCTGTCCACTCTTTTCCAGAGCCCTGCATGCCAGCTGAGTACAGGGCAGAGAATGCAAGGCGACAAGACAGGTAGAAATTCTAACAGCATAATTCAACTTACGGATTTTGGCATACAGTAGTAGTACAATCAAAATCTTGTCCAGCAAACAGGAAACCGGGACCGGAGGGTGAGTTGATAAGAGAAATAGGACGGGAAACGACGGAGTCAGGATACATTCAGACTTACCGTTTAGGCCGCCATGGTGATAGTGCCCGGATCGAGGATCGCGGCTGGTGCACCATACGGAGGTGCTGCCTTTTGACATAAGAATTTTCTTGATGAGGAACCTGCAACGAAGTAAGAAAAACCAAAGTTATTAGTCAGCAGAAAGGGGCTGTACTGTGGAACGCTATAAAAACGACGAACGGTATAACTACCGATACGCAGGAACGAAAACGCCACGGCTCCTACTCAGTGCAGTCTTAGATCTAGGAGTTCAGAGTGGTATGAAAATGGAGAAGGAAGACTAGCGGGTGGGAGAGCGCATGATGGGTCATATAAGGAAGTCTAGAAATGAGGAAGAGGGTTCTGAGCACATGATGGGTCATATGAGAAGGAATTGAGACGTGAGGTGAGGAGTTTCCGTGGCTACATATTCTGGGTGTGGGTTGATAAGGGGGTGATGTGGTGGTTGGGGATTGGTCAGAAGTTGGCTGCACAATTTTTGCTGGCTCGACCGTTCTTTGGTACGATACAAAGTGTCTCGTTTCTAAGAAATATGTGTTGCGTCTCTTTTACGGTCACCATAAACAATCGCAAATTGTACAGCTCCCCTACCCAGTTTGTCGAACTGATTTTCCCTTTCGCGAAGCGTGTCGAGTTTTCGCCGAAGCGCGTCGAGTTTTCGCCGACCATATTTTCCCCCATATTTTTTTGAAGCGCGTCGAGTTTCCATTGACCAATTACAGACGAGAAATTTGGCCTCTCTCGTGTTTTCTGATTGGCTGGTACCATATTTGTCCTTGGCCAATCACAACCGACCCAGCATGCTGCTCTTGGCCTAGGCAACCCGTGCTTCTTTGGTATGGTCGTTGGGATGTGGCTGGAATAAAGCGGAAACCTACAGAACGCTAATAATTCACCACGGTAGCGGATAGGTTTAGGTTTGGAGGGCCCGATGAAGCGGGGACATAGGGCCTCTGGACAAAGCCTTTGCCAATGTGGACTTTGCTCCCACGAAGCCTTCGTCCCTGCTTCATTCCCATTTCCTCTCAACCTCGTCCAGGGGGACTTCGTAAACCCTTTGTCACAAATGTCCAACCCAACCCCGATTCACATTTTTGGGATGTCGTTAATCTGCGCGTTGGCCTTCCCGAACCGCATCTTCCTCCCCCCCCTCAGATTCGCCGCCGCGTCCTCACTCTTGCCCATCTTGCGGCCATTCACGTCCTTGAGCTCACGCGCGTCGCTCATCTCCTGCTCCGAGTAGAGCCCGTCCACCATGTTGGCGCGTAGCCAGTTCCAGTACCCCTTGGCGTCCTCCAGGTCCGCGTTCGGGTTCAGCATCATGCTCACGCCCGCGCCGGCGGAGTCGGAGGTGAGCAGCGCGTCGTCCGCGGGGAAGAGCATGGCCTTGCGGTCCAGCTTGCCGAGCGTCTCGTCCGTCGGATTCCAGTCGCTCTCTGAAGCATTGCATTGCATTGCTCACACCAACACAAGAAACCAGAGCTTGATTTCGTCAACACATGATGTGTTGAGGAGAACGAGGACTAATGGTTGAGCGCAAAAGGTGTTGACGAGTTGTAACCCCGGTTTAAACATGCCGAGAGATGTAGCTTTTTACAGAGAGCTTTCATGCTACTTACCCAATTTCGGGATGAAGTGGTCGAGGAAGGTGGTGGTTATCCGGTACTATTTGCTGGAAATCGCGGGGTTCTTGAGTGCATCGCGCGCGCTCTTCACCTCGGCGATCACCTCCTCCTTGCTGGGCCGCTTCGCCGCCGCCGGCGCGACGAGCACCGCGACCAGCGCGCAAATGCCGAGAATCGCCAGCTGGTTCCACCACGACGCCATGCCTCGCGCTTGGAAAAGAGGGAACGAGAGAATTTCTCGACGGAACGAGTGAAGAGGGGAGAGAAGCTCGAAGTCTTTGAGAGGACTACTCGGCGGAAGAGAGAAGCAGAAAGATCGGGTGTTTCTGGGCAATGTGTGTTCACGTGCTTGTGTGATCATGTATCGAGCAGAACAGGGCTCTGCTTTATGCTCTGGCGATGAGCATTCGTTGGAGCAGAAGCGGCTGGGTTCTCGGCGCGTGAGGTGCGCTGTGGGGGAAACGAAGGGTTCTGGGACTCACGCTCGAAAATGAAAATGGGTGGCAAGCGGTGTAGAGAATAAACACGCGGTCTCATGCGTTTTATCGTGGTATGGCTGCTTGTTTTGTGTTGAACCTCGGCTACAAAAGCACTGCGTTTCGAGTGATGCAATGCCCCAACCAATCGGATTGGCGATTGATTTTTGTGTGGGTCTCGAAACGCGTTGGCTGTGTGTGAGCCGTATGATGCGGCTGGGGATGTGGGGCTTTGTTGCGGAGGAGGGTTCCCTGAACGAGGGAACCCATGGATGGACCATGGTACCCCTCAGGATTTACTCTGGGGGCGCGTTGCTTCAGAATGGATTTTTAACCAGTCGTCATCTGGGGGACTTCGTACCCGTCAGGGCCCGTTTTCGGGTCAAAATCTGCCAGAACCTAGGTTAAAAGCCAGGTTCGAGCAAAAAGAGACCCGAGACCAGCGGAGTCGGTGGGACCCGAATCCGTCAAAGAGGGCGTTCCGGTCAAAAGCCACCCGTTAAAGAATCAGCATTTGGGTAGTTGCTCGTCGAGCATAGCCCCCTGGCGGGAGGCGTGCTTTGACGAAAACAAGGTTCCCGACATCACTATTGAAAATGAAAAGGGATGGCAGGTGGTAGAAATGTTTACGTCTAAATTGTCCAGATCCCCGCGTTCGCCACTTGAAAAATGTTTCGAAACTAGAATTCCAAAATCAATGCCCCGACATACCCTCAAATATTATACGTTCAGGGCAACTAGCCTTCGAACATGGGTTCCGTTCGGCGGTTCGTGTGTTCGTAGCCTGGATGCGACTGCGTTTGTCAAACGATGCCCCAACCAATCGGATTGACGATTTTTTTTCCCGAGTCAGCCTCATACGTGTTGCATCTCAGGCCTGAACTTGAGTGCTGCTGAGCCGTGTGATGCGGCTGAGGATGCAAAACCATGTCAGAATAGAGCGCACGCGAAAGATCAAGGGAACCCATGGTACCGCTCTGAAAGCATCTGCTCTTGTTCCGTGAAGTTGACTAGTAATGTAATGTAAGTACGCGACTCCAACTTGAACCATACACTCCGTCCTCGTACGCGCCAAGGGCCATATCTACAGAGGAAATTACTATGTCAATATAGCATATGATCCATTGTGTGTATCTTTCCCTATTTCGCCATGAGAAGGGATGGAGTGGGCGAGCTCCAAAGGAGATGGCTTTTGTACAAGGCAATGCATTGGTGCGTCCCAAAATACGAGGACCATAAATACGGAGTAGGTATACAGTAGGTACGGCATAGATACGTCTGCTACGGAGTAGCCTTGCTATACGAACAACTATACCTACAATATAGGTGAGATCCACATTTTTGTGACGTGGGGTTGGAAAATGGGCGCGAGAGATATAAAATGGGTGGTGGGCGAGTGAAAGGGGGCGACGGGGGAAGAAAATGGGCGTGACGGGACAGGGGCGAAGGGAGAGGGGAAGGGTAAAGCGAAACTGAATAATAAAAGAGTTTCATGATGGGTGTTTTAAAGGCTAGTAGTGTGCGCCCACTAGGACATGGGTGTCTGACAGAACATGGGTGTGTGACAGGACATGGGTGTGTGACAGGACATGGAAGTGTGACAGAACATGGGTGTGTGACAAGATATAGGTGTGTGATAGGACATGGGTGTGTGAGAGGCCATGGGTGTGTGAGAGGCCATGGGTGTGTGACAGGCCATGGGTGTGTGATATGACATGGGTGTGTGACAGACCATGGGTGTGTGACAGGCCATGGGTGTGTGACAGACCATGGGTGTGTGACAGGCCATGGGTATGTGATAGGACATGGGTGTGTGACAGGACATGGGTGTGTGACAGGCCATGGGTGTGTGACAGGCCATGGGTGTGTGACAAGCCATGGGTGTGTGACAGGCCATGGGTGTGTGACAGGACATGGGTGTTTGACAGGACATGGGTCCGTGACAGGCCATGGGTGTGTGACAGGCCATGGGTGTGTGACTGGCCACGGGTGTGGGACAGGACTTGAAAAGTAGTCATGGAAAATGCGAGCAATGAAGGACGTGCATGTGTGCATGTATGCATGGGCGTGTGTGCATATGTGCATAGGGTTGTATGCAATTATGCAAGTATAGTTTCTAGTCTCGAGGCTGGTAAGCAAGACACGAAATTTGCAGAAGGACAACCTGATTTGATAGCAGACATGACCTAAGAAATCCTATATTCGATTACAGATCCTTCGTTGATCAAACCAATTCTGTTCAATGAATCGAGGCATATTGCAGCTGTGTCGCATGAACCTCGTTGTACCCATTACCGAGTTTCATGGGACAGCACGGGAGGTGCAGGCGCGGAATGTGAGGTTCAGAGAATATTGTAAGCAAGTATATTTAGTGTACATAGCCAACGGCACTTTTGATAAAGGTACAGTGATGGGCGAGTTGGGAGCGGTTGGCCAGGTGGGAAGGAAGCAAGTTGGGGCATGACACGTAAGTAAGCATGAGGAGCGGTTTGGGCAGTGGCTTGCGGCGAATGAGAGAGGTGAGTCGATGGCAGGAATCACAGGGCCATCATAGTAGGAGAAACTCCCAAAACGGCGCGCAGCGGAAGCAGCTGGGAGGGCAGGGTTTGGCTTCGGAGTGGGACTGCTAGGAGGAGGAGCACAAAAGTAGTAAGGAGGGGTAGTTGTTGCTACTCTGTTTGTTCTCTCGTTATCATGGGAAAGCCTGTATGCTCTCTTACTAGTGGATTTACTCTTGAGCAACGCTAGATCCATGTAGGGAGGTCGGACAGAGGTGCAGTTGAGAGGATCAGGATGCGAGATTGAGTCTTGGGCTTTTTCGTACAAACAGAGTTATGGTGGGCATGTCACTGCGTAGCGGCATGCGCCTACCTGTGGGAGAGACTCCCCCGCTGGGGGAGGAGAACGTGTCACCAAACGAAGGAGGCGAAGAACAGCGAGGGGAATCGTCCGAGGATAAGCGCGAATCTCCGCGCGAGAAGGCTGGCGAAGGAGCGCAAGAGTGGGACGAGGAGATTTGTGGCTCTAGCAGTTTCGCCATGCGAGCAGATCGCCATCCGGGAGAAGGAATCCCATCGGCGGGAAGAGGAGGAATCCCTTCGGGCATCGCGGAGCGCAGCAGAGGGGTCTCGGACTCGAGGGCAGCCGGATCCGCAGAGGTCGCCACATCTGCGCGCTTAAGCGAGATGGGTGGCGGAGGTGCCATCGGGGGGAGAGGCGCGTCCGTGGGAGGGCCGTCAAGGCGGTCCTTGTGGGAGGAGGGGACGAGATATTGCTACACCAGCCTTCCGAAAGTGGAGGTTCCAGCTCGCTTTACGGGCGACCAGGAGATTGGGACGCGGCTTAAGGCGTATGTGATGCACATCCACTGCGAGAAGTTCTGCTGGGAGCAAGATGGATTGGACTTAAGGCACTTCTTTCGCTCCCTGGGGAACACGCTGGCCGGAGACGTGGAGGCGTTCTTACTGGAAGTGCGCGATCTGCTGCTGCAGGAAGAGGAGCGGGATGCTTTGGGCCGGGTTTGCTGCGATGAGGAGGGATGGATCTTGATGCTAAGAGATCCGACGGAGAGGTTCCTCGCCGAGCTGCAGGTCCATTTCCCCACGCAGACGCGGCGCGGCTAAGAGAGTTTGAGCAGCTGCGGAGGGCCTCAAGAGAGTCACTGCTAGCGTATTACCGGCGGGTGGATCAGCTGGCTGACGTCATCAGCTGCAACGAGCCACGGATAGTGGTGGCGAAGTTCCTAGATGGGCTGTCGAGAGATCTGGTGGGGACGGTGCGAGACCACACGTACAACCTACGGCCGAACGCCACGCTTCGTCAGGCGTATGCGATAGCATGGCGGAATGAGCAGTCCCTGAGCATGTATGACCTCGGGAAGAGGGCAGAACGGACCATGCCCCACGAGCGTGATCGCAGGGGAGTAAGCTGGGGTGGAGCCATGATGGCAGACAGCGAAGGAGATGAGGAAGGAGGGCTGGAAGGCAGGAATCAGAGGGGACGGGCGAGGAGGGCAAAAAGTGCGACTCCGCCCCCGGGTGAAGAGCCTGTGTGCTATAAGTGCAGGGAGCCCGGGCACTTCAAACGAGACTGCCCCAAGTTGCAATCCTGTACATATTGCCAGCGAAAGGGGCATGCGGCCGACGACTGCTACACGAAGCAGAGAGAGGAACGGAGCCGTGGGGGCAGACGCAGTCGCATAGAAGCACTGGAAGAAGAGCTCAGGAAGCTCAAGGGGGAGGCGGAGGGCAGCGAGGAAGAGGAGGACTAGGGAGCACTAATGGCTTGAACAGACCAAGAGGATAAGGGGGAGCTGCCAGAGCCCTTCTTCATGGCCTCGGGGAGAGATCGAGACCGAGAAGACCTGGGGCTGCGCATCGGGGGCAGAGATGGACGCCGAGATATGCAACAGGGGCACAGAGGGCCGAGGATGGAGCCCTCCCCAGCGGTGCAGCGTGCAGCGGAAGCTGTAGCGGAGGCAGTGGCACGTGCAGGGGGCAGCCATGGGCCACGCATGCATCCCTTTGAGCGTATGGCGGCACGTCCGTGCGTGGTGGAAGCAGTGGAAGGGTCCGTGGAGGTAGAAGGAAATTACCTAGGTACGACGATCATTGACATGGGTGCCTCCCAGGTGCTGATCGGTAGGCGACTGGCCGAGCATTTGGGGCTCCACCAAGAGGAAAACGTGACACCTGAAGGGGTGAGGATACCGACAGCAGAAAGGGGGGGTAGGCAAATGCCTGCCAAGGACCTTGCGTTTGCAGGAGGTAGTGTTGGCTCCCGGGAAAGAGAACGAAGCGAGACTCAGGGTGCACTGCCTCATCTCGGATTCCGATGATTACAATCTATTGCTAGGTATGGAGCTGTTGTAAAAAATCGGGGCAGTCGTGGACACCTGGGCAGAGAAGGTCACGTACCAGCCATGATACTGGGATGCAGACTTACGGCGAGAAGAGAGTACAGCGGCTGTATTGCCCGCTCGGTTCCTGAGAGGGAGACCCGTGTACAGGGAGCCGTCCGCAGACCGGGTGCCTGAAAACCGATTCAAGGATGCTGGAGTGTACCTGGAGAAGAGCAGTGAGAGGCGGAGATGGGAGGAAGCAGCCGGCCCGAGAGTGGAAGAGTGCCGTGAAGCAAAGGGCTTGACAGAGCCCACGTACGATTTTGAGACGGACATCTTGGAACCAGGCAGGCGGGCTGCTCCGGTAACCATGCCCGACGCTCGAGTGTAGTACCCATGCAATGAAGTGGGGGCACCACGTCAGGCCTGGCCCACGCTGGTAGCGACCCCAGGCAGCTATGCCTTCCGGATGCAGGATGGACAGCCAGGGCCCGGAATGGTGCAGGTCCTGTCCACTGGAGAATGGGAGGAACCCTTGGCAGTGGAGCGAGAGCGGGCAATAGGGTACTTGAGAAATGCAACCGCAGTAGAGGGAGTGACGGAAGCAGAGAGGTGGCGAGCTCTAGGGGGAGCGATAGATCAGCACACACTGGTATGGTTGATGTACCGGGCAGAGAAGCGATAGGAGGCAATGCACAAGCGGCTGCTGATGATTTGGAGGTGGAGGGATATAGAAGAAATGCTAGAGGCAGACCCAGTTCAAGCCATGGACATAGCGAAGGCATGGCGAAGGATGAAAGTGGAGGCAAGGGAGGAAGGTAGGCGGGATGAAGAGTGCTTGAATAGCAGAGGAATCAGCCTCTTGGCGAGAGCAACGCAGGAGGCTGAGGAGCGGCAAGATACGAACGAGGAGCTGGAGGCAGAGCCCCCCCCCTTAGGGACGCTCCCCCTGAGGAGAGTCAGTGGGACATAGGGGAGGGGCTGGAGGAGGGACAGAAGGAGGAACTAACGGGGGTACTCGAGAAGGCCAGAGACGCCTTCGCATACTCACTGGCAGAACTGGGCAAGTGTAACCGGACAGAGATGGAGATTGATTTGCAGAGCTCTGAGCCTGTGTATCAAAGGAGACGGAGACTGAGTCCAGGGGATCGCGACATCAATTGGCCAAATGCAAAGAGGTGCTAGCAGCCAGCTTGATTCAAGAATCAACATCAGAGTATGCAGCGGCAACTGTGGTAGCGGTACACAAGTACTTGACAGGAGAAATGCTAGCAAGACGGATGTGGGAGGATTATCGAGGCCTGAACCGCATGACGAAGAGCGATAGGTACCCCATGCCGATGGCGGAGGAGATTTTTGACAAGCTGGCGGAAGGGAGGATTTACTCAACTTTAGACCTCCGGCAGGGATTCAATCAGATCCCGATCAAGGAAGAAGATAAGGCCAAGACCGCGTTTCACGGTCCAGACCGGCTCTTCGAATAGAACTTCATGCCATTTGGCTTGAAGAACGCCTCTGCAAAGTTTCAAAGAGTAATGGACCAAGTCCTCCAGGAGGTGCCGCGGGCACTGTGCTACATTGATGACGTCGTCATCTACAGCCAGATGACGTAGCTAACGTGGTGGCGACCTTAGCGACTATCCAAAGAAATGCCACTTCGGGGTTACGACAGTAGCTTACCTGGGGTTTCAGGTGGGAGAAGGCGGGCTCTCGGTGCAGCAGGCGAAGGTGGAGGTGGTTGACAGGCTGAAGGCGCCCACGGATTGTAGCACGCTAAGAGCGCAGCTGGGATTCCTGAGCTACTACCGCAGGTTCATCCCGAACTTCAGCAAGACAGCCAAGCCACTAAGTCAGTTGTTGAGAAAGGATGAAGGATGGAAGTGGTGGAAAGAGCAAGAGAGAGCATGGACCACCCTCAAGGAGGCCGTGAAGACGGCGCCGCTGCTGAAGCTGCCTAACCCAGACGAGCCTTTCCTGCTGTACACAGACTGGAGCAGCAGTGGGATGTGCACCGTGCTCTGTCAGGAGGAAAAAGGAACAGAGAGGGTGGTGGCGTACGTCAGCAGGTCATGTAGCCCGGCGGAGAGCAATTATAGCTCGTACGAGGGAGAGGGGTTGGCGGCAGTGTGGGCGGTAGAGCTGTTCCGGCCCTACTTGCAGGGGAGGAAGTTCACGCTGGTGACGGATCACCAACCACTGCTCTGGCTGATGACGAACCAAACCCTGAAGGACCGGAACGCTCGATGGGCTATGCATCTACAGGAGTTCGAGTTCGACGTGAAGCATCGACCGGGGAAAGACTTTGCAGCATGTGGATGGCCTAACTCGCCAGAGGCAAGAGGGAGACGAGAGGAGAGAGGTGCGGGCAGAGGCCGCACTTACTTGTATGGCGGTGGCCCTGGAGAAGGAGGGATGGAACCGGAAGACAGAGACAGCAAAGGGCAGTTGAGAGATTTGGGAAGACCAGCCAGTGCTCGCCTGGGGTTCAGGGCAGGGGACCGGAAGGGGAAGAAGTTCCTGAGAGGGTGCGAGTGCGGGGGGGTGCATTACCGATGGCAGACGGATCAGCAGCAGCTGGTGACAGAAGATGGGTGGCGGATAGTGCCACGGCCAGAGGAAAGGGAGGCCCTGATCGTGAAAGTACATACACAGTTGGGGCACTATGCCGTGGAACGGACCGTACAGATGCTGCAGACCATGTACTGGTGGGCGGGCCTGAGAAGAGAAGTGAAGGAAGTGCTGGCCAGATGTGAGCCATGCAGCCAGAGCAAGGCAAAGCTGGAGCGAACCAAGGCAGAGCTGCAGTCTCTACCCATCGGTTCAATCGGGTATCGCTGGTCCTTAGACATGGTGGGGGAAATGCCGCTATCTCGGCGAGGCAAGCAATACATTCCGTGATGATCGAGCTCACGAGCAAGTGGATAGAGGTGGCAGCACTGGCATGGAAGACAGCAGCAGCAGTGGCAAAGGCTTTCACCCAGCAAGTCGTAACCAGGTCGGCGCATGTGGGGAAGTTCTGACGGACAAGGGTGGAGAATTTGCGGGAGAATTCCACGGCCTGCTGCAAGAGGTGGGCATCACCCAGCGGCGGACTTCACGGTACCATCCCCGGGCTGATGGCCTGACAGAGTGAATGGTCCAGACTCTGAAGATGGGCCTGAGGAAGTACTGCAAGGAGGAAGAGCAAAGGGAGTGGGACCAACATCTGCCGTGGGTGGCGGCGGGGTATCGCTTCAGCAAACAGCAGGCTCTGAAGGATTATTCCCCGTACTATCTGGTTTTCGGGAAGGAGCCAGTGCTGCCGGTGGACGCTCCACTGATAATGGTGCAGTCGGTGTCCACTGACGACCCGCGCACCTGGGCGGCGGTGGCAGCCAGATGCGCTAGCTACCTCCGCAGCGTGCTGCCAGCAGCCTTGGAAAATCTGGAAGTGGCGCAGCTCCGTGATGCTCGATGCTACCGACAGCGGAAGGAAGGAGTAGGTGGAGGACCTAGGCATGGGACTGAGCTGCAAATTGGGGATGAGGTGTACCTGAAGGAGCCGCGGCATAATACGCTGGAGTGTGGCCTGAGTAAGCAGCGGTGGGTCGTGCGCAGGAAGGAGGAGTCGGGGGTCCTGACACTACAGAATGCGCCAGGGAGGTCGGTTCAGGATCATGTGACGAATGTCGCCCGAGCATCCGGTTCGCGACCAAGCAGCGGGGGCGCAGGGCAGACCGAGAGGGGGCATGAGTCAGGGGAGTCGAAACTCATCACATACAAGCGTAGGGAAGGCAAAGAATCTTAGGAACCAGGTTAGGCATTGCAGATGAGAGCTGCGGGGAGGGGAGGAGGCTATGCGACAGCTGTCGCATGAACCTCGTTGTACCCGTTACCGAGTTTTATGGGACAGCGCGGGAGGTGCAGGTGCGGAATTAGAGGTTCGGAAAATGTTGTAAGCAAGTGTATATAGTGTACATAGCCGACGAATCTTTCAATAAAGGTACAGTGATGGGCGAGCTGGGAGCGGTTGGCCAGCTGGGAAGGAAGCAGGTTGGGGCATGACACGTAAGTAAGCATGAGGAGCGGTTTGGGCAGTAAAATCAGCGAATGAGAGAGGTGAGTCGATGGCAGGAATCAGGGTGAATGAGGCATGAGAGTGCGAAAGCATCAAAAGCTGTTATGTTGATATGCAATAAGAATCTGGTGACAGGTTTTGACAAAGGAACCTGACTAAGGGTGAATCTGACAATGGGGATTCGACTGTGAATTCCTGAGATGGGAATCTGACAATGAGGTCAGTCATGGAACGTCGGCACTGGGAATTGTAGACGGGAATCTAAAATTACAATTCTGACAATAGAGAACTGACTACGGGGGATTGGGGAATACGAACCTGACATGGAAAAATGAAGCGGGAACATGACATGAGTATATGCCATGGCTATCTAACAACGGAAATCTGACAATGGGAATCATCTGGCTCAGAAATCTGACATAGAATTCTGACAGTCAGCATCTGACAGTAATAATTGAACAACGGGGAATATATAGGATTCGAGCAGCTGGAACGTAGTCAGCTGGAATCTGGGGAAAAAAGAAGAATGAAGTGAGAATCTGACCACGGGAATTGGAAAATGGAATGTGGCTGTGGGTGAATGTGACAATGAGATTCTGACAGATGAATCTGATATGGAAATCTGGCAACGGAAGTCTGACATGGAAAGTTGGCACTAAGAATTGGAAATGGGAATCTGAAAGCGGGAATCTGAGATTGGAAATGACAATGGGAAAAAGATTATACGTACCTGACACGCAAAACTAATATAACATGGGTATACGAGAGCATACGTGACAACGGGAATCAGACCTGGGGCTTGGGAATCTGACTTAAGGATCTGACCTGGGAATCTCACCTAAAAAAACTGACCTGGGAATCTGACCTGGAAAAATGACGTGGGAATCTGGCTTGGGAATCTGACTTGGATAGCTGACTTGGGATTCTGACTAGGAAATCGAACTTGGGAATCTCACCTGGAAATCTCTTGCCGAATCTGACTTGGGAATCTGACTGATTTCGGAAACTGACAGACCTTGGAATCTGACTTGGGGATCTAACCTAGGAATCTGATCCAGGAATCTGACCTGGGATTGTGACCAGGGAATGTGACCTGGGAATCTGATTTGGGAATGCGACTTGGTAATCCGACTTGGGATTCTGACTCGGAAATCTGACTTGAAAATCTCACCTGGGAATTTGACAGGATCATTATGGGATCCTGATAAAGGGAAAGAAAATTTGGAGTGAGATTACTATGCTCATGGCAATAATTGGGAATCTGACCTGGAAATCTGGCTCAAGAATCAGACTTGGGATTCTGACTTGCGAATCAGACTAGGGAATCTGACTTGGGAATCTCACCTGGGAATCTCATCTGGGAATCTCACCTGGAAATCTGACCTGGGAGTCTAACCTGGGAATCTGACTTGGGAAGCTTACTTGGGCATCTGACTCTGGAATATCACGTGGGAATTTCACCTGGGAATCTGACTCGGGAATCTGACTTGGAAATCTGACTCGGGAATCTGACTCAGGAATCTCTCCTGGGAATCTAACCTGGGAATTTGACTTGGGAATCTGACTTGGGAATTTCAATTAGGAATCTGACTTGGGGGAATCTGATTCGGGAACATCACCTGCGAACCTCACGTGGGAATCTGACCTGGGAATGTGACCTTGGGAATCTGACCTGGGCATCTGACCAGGGAATCAGACCTGGAAATGTGACCTGGGAATCTGACTTGGGAATCGGACTCAGGAATCTCACCTGGGAATCTGACCTGGAAATCTGACCAGGAAATCCGACCTGGGAATCTGACTTGGGGGAATCTGATACGGGAACATCAACTGCGAATCTCACATGGGGATGTGACCTGGGAATCTGACCTGGGAATGTGACCTTGGGAATCTGACCTGGGCAGCTGACCTGGGAATACGACCTGGGAAGGTGACCTGGGAAACTGACTGACTTGGGAATGTGACCTGGGAATCTGACCTGGGAATATTATTTTTAGAATCTGACTTGAGAATCTGACTCAGGAATCTCACCAGGGAATCTCACCAGGGAAATCTCACCTGGGAATCTCACCTAGGATTCTCACCTGGAAATCTGACCTGGAAATCTGACCTGGGAATCTGACCTGGAAATCTGACCTGGGAATCTGACCTGGGAATCTGACATGGGAATCTGTCTTGGGAATCGTACTTTGGAATCCGACTAGGGAATCTGACTCAAGAATCTCACCTGGGAATCCGACCTGGGAATCCGACTTGGGAATCCGACAGACCTGGGAAACTGACTGACTTGGGAATGTGACCTGGGAATCTGACCTGGGAATATGATTTTTAGAATCTGACTTGAGAATCTGACTCAGGAATCTCACCAGGGAATCTCACCTGGTAATCTCACCTAGGAATCTCACCTAGGATTCTCACCTGGAAATCTGACCTGGAAATCTGACCTGGGAATCTGACCTGGAAATCTGACCTGGGAATCTGACCTGGGAATCTGAGTTGGGAATCTGACCTGGGAATCTTACTTGGGAATCCGACTAGGGAATCTGACTCAGGAATCTCGCCTGGGAATCCGACCTCGGAATCTGACTTGGGAATCTGACTTGGGAATTTCACATAGGAATCTGACTTGGGGGAATCTGACTCGGGAACATCACTGCGAATCTAACATGGGAATGTGACCTGGGAATATGACCTGGGAATGTGACCTTGGGACTCTGACCTGGTCAGCTGACCTAGGAATATGACCTGGGAATGTGACCTGGGAATCTGACTCCGACTGACCTGGGAAACTGACTAACTTGGGAATGTGACCTGGGAATCTGACCTGGGAATATGACTTGGGAATCTGACTCAGGAATCTCACCATGGAATCTCACTTGAGAATCTCACTTGGGAATCTCACCTGGGATTCTCACCTGGGAATCTGACCTGGAAATCTGACCTGGGAATCTGACTTGGCAATCTGAATTGGAAATCTGACTTGGGAATCTGAATTGGGAATCTGACTTGGGAATCCGACTAGGGAATCTTACTCAGGAATCTCACCTGGGAATCTGACCAGGGAATCTGACTTGGGAATCTGGCTTGGGATTTGGACATAGGAATCTGACTTGGGATTCTGACTCGGGAACATCACCTAGGAATCTCACCCGGGAATGTGACCTGGGAATCTGACCTGGGAATGTGACCTTGGGAATCTGACCTGGGCATCTGACCAGGGAATCTGACCTGGGAATGTGACCTGGGAAACTGACTGACTATGTGACCTGGGAATCTCACCTCAAAATCTCACCTGGGAATCTGACCTGGGGACGTGACCTGGGAATCTGACCTGGGAATCTGACCTGGGAATCTGACCTGGGAATCTGACCTGGGAATCTGACCTGGGAATCTGACCTGGGAATCTGACCTGGGAATCTGACCTTGGGAACATTCATTGCCACCTGGCAGCTGTTCATAGGCTGCGATGGCGAGGGGAGGGTGGGAGGGGAGATAGCAGGGCAGGAGGGACGAGGGTTGAGGATAGTAGTAGGGAGGCGGGCGTAGGAAAGGGGGAAGGAAGCTGCTTGGAGCTAGCCTCCTGTGCAGACGACCATTCTGTAAGGTTGTTTCAAATCAACGGGCATTCTGTGTATCAGCGGCACTCTTTCTTTATCTGGTGTAATTTCCTATCCTACCTGTAGCGGCTCAATGCCCAGCTTCCATATCGTAATTTGAAGAGACTCTAAACAGGATGCATGGACAAGGACAGCGTGGCCTTTTGCATGAAAAGTTTTGTATGGAAGCAACTTCAAAAACACCAACTAGTAAATGATTACTACCAGAAGTTTGTACACGGAACAAGGCATTTCTCCAAACCACTACCCCCCCCTCCGTAAACCCCAGCTAGTTGCTGGAGCCTCCAGCCAAGCACCGTCACACTAATGCGTTGCTCCACCCAGTCCAGTACAGATAGCTCTACCCAGGAACGCGTAATCTAGACACATGCGAGCACCAAGGAAAACACAATAGTTGGAGAAAATCTCGCGAATCTCACGAATCCCGTCTCGCGCGATTATATTCCAATTTTCGCTGCGGAACGGGATTCGCGAGATTTTCTCCAATAGTTGTAGGGCCTACGGAGCTGATCAGCCTTTTCGCACAAACGCTTTGATTCCGGCAGGCGGGTCAGTACGGCGACTGCAGAGCGTCCACACCATGAACGATCAGAAACTTCCCTTTGAAAATCTCAGGGTCCGTCCCAAAAATTGGGGGCCGGAAACCTATGCACCTGCTTCGCACGTTCGCGGAAGTGCTATGCACCTACTATGCTCGTGAAGGCTATGTCTAAACGTGTTCATCAGTGAAGCATAAACATAGTTCCGAAATGCAAAGCTCATACAAAGCACCTACTTAGTGCGAGGAATGTCGAGGTGCATTGCGTTTACATTGTCCATGCTGATCGTCGTGCTATGATGTTGCGCTAGACGTAGCATGCGCTATGCATGTGCTTTGTGTGCTTTCGTCATTGCTATGTTGATGCTATGCAGACACATAGTATTTCAAGCCTGAAGCATTCCCGCCACAATTCATGTTGTTTTATATCTAGTACACTAGGTGCAGTAATTCTGTATTTACATATTCATATAACATCTTGATTGCACAAATAAAAAATACAACAAAATTGAACTACAAATTCAGCACTTCCGTAGCTCGATTTCGGGAAGGTGACAAATCATGAGAACGGGATAAAAGCGGTGACATGGAAGCGGATCCCGTTCAACGGCTATTTCCACCATGCCTTCAAATTTGCTTCATCAAGGTCGTGACTGGGTTCTGTCCACTCTTTTCCAGAGCCCTGCATGCCAGCTGAGTACAGGGCAGAGAATGCAAGGCGACAAGACAGGTAGAAATTCTAACAGCATAATTCAACTTACGGATTTTGGCATACAGTAGTAGTACAATCAAAATCTTGTCCAGCAAACAGGAAACCGGGACCGGAGGGTGAGTTGATAAGAGAAATAGGACGGGAAACGACGGAGTCAGGATACATTCAGACTTACCGTTTAGGCCGCCATGGTGATAGTGCCCGGATCGAGGATCGCGGCTGGTGCACCATACGGAGGTGCTGCCTTTTGACATAAGAATTTTCTTGATGAGGAACCTGCAACGAAGTAAGAAAAACCAAAGTTATTAGTCAGCAGAAAGGGGCTGTACTGTGGAACGCTATAAAAACGACGAACGGTATAACTACCGATACGCAGGAACGAAAACGCCACGGCTCCTACTCAGTGCAGTCTTAGATCTAGGAGTTCAGAGTGGTATGAAAATGGAGAAGGAAGACTAGCGGGTGGGAGAGCGCATGATGGGTCATATAAGGAAGTCTAGAAATGAGGAAGAGGGTTCTGAGCACATGATGGGTCATATGAGAAGGAATTGAGACGTGAGGTGAGGAGTTTCCGTGGCTACATATTCTGGGTGTGGGTTGATAAGGGGGTGATGTGGTGGTTGGGGATTGGTCAGAAGTTGGCTGCACAATTTTTGCTGGCTCGACCGTTCTTTGGTACGATACAAAGTGTCTCGTTTCTAAGAAATATGTGTTGCGTCTCTTTTACGGTCACCATAAACAATCGCAAATTGTACAGCTCCCCTACCCAGTTTGTCGAACTGATTTTCCCTTTCGCGAAGCGTGTCGAGTTTTCGCCGAAGCGCGTCGAGTTTTCGCCGACCATATTTTCGCCCATATTTTTTTGAAGCGCGTCGAGTTTCCATTGACCAATTACAGACGAGAAATTTGGCCTCTCTCGTGTTTTCTGATTGGCTGGTACCATATTTGTCCTTGGCCAATCACAACCGACCCAGCATGCTGCTCTTGGCCTAGGCAACCCGTGCTTCTTTGGTATGGTCGTTGGGATGTGGCTGGAATAAAGCGGAAACCTACAGAACGCTAATAATTCACCACGGTAGCGGATAGGTTTAGGTTTGGAGGGCCCGATGAAGCGGGGACATAGGGCCTCTGGACAAAGCCTTTGCCAATGTGGACTTTGCTCCCACGAAGCCTTCGTCCCTGCTTCATTCCCATTTCCTCTCAACCTCGTCCAGGGGGACTTCGTAAACCCTTTGTCACAAATGTCCAACCCAACCCCGATTCACATTTTTGGGATGTCGTTAATCTGCGCGTTGGCCTTCCCGAACCGCATCTTCCTCCCCCCCCTCAGATTCGCCGCCGCGTCCTCACTCTTGCCCATCTTGCGGCCATTCACGTCCTTGAGCTCACGCGCGTCGCTCATCTCCTGCTCCGAGTAGAGCCCGTCCACCATGTTGGCGCGTAGCCAGTTCCAGTACCCCTTGGCGTCCTCCAGGTCCGCGTTCGGGTTCAGCATCATGCTCACGCCCGCGCCGGCGGAGTCGGAGGTGAGCAGCGCGTCGTCCGCGGGGAAGAGCATGGCCTTGCGGTCCAGCTTGCCGAGCGTCTCGTCCGTCGGATTCCAGTCGCTCTCTGAAGCATTGCATTGCATTGCTCACACCAACACAAGAAACCAGAGCTTGATTTCGTCAACACATGATGTGTTGAGGAGAACGAGGACTAATGGTTGAGCGCAAAAGGTGTTGACGAGTTGTAACCCCGGTTTAAACATGCCGAGAGATGTAGCTTTTTACAGAGAGCTTTCATGCTACTTACCCAATTTCGGGATGAAGTGGTCGAGGAAGGTGGTGGTTATCCGGTATTTGCTGGAAATCGCGGGGTTCTTGAGTGCATCGCGCGCGCTCTTCACCTCGGCGATCACCTCCTCCTTGCTGGGCCGCTTCGCCGCCGCCGGCGCGACGAGCACCGCGACCAGCGCGCAAATGCCGAGAATCGCCAGCTGGTTCCACCACGACGCCATGCCTCGCGCTTGGAAAAGAGGGAACGAGAGAATTTCTCGACGGAACGAGTGAAGAGGGGAGAGAAGCTCGAAGTCTTTGAGAGGACTACTCGGCGGAAGAGAGAAGCAGAAAGATCGGGTGTTTCTGGGCAATGTGTGTTCACGTGCTTGTGTGATCATGTATCGAGCAGAACAGGGCTCTGCTTTATGCTCTGGCGATGAGCATTCGTTGGAGCAGAAGCGGCTGGGTTCTCGGCGCGTGAGGTGCGCTGTGGGGGAAACGAAGGGTTCTGGGACTCACGCTCGAAAATGAAAATGGGTGGCAAGCGGTGTAGAGAATAAACACGCGGTCTCATGCGTTTTATCGTGGTATGGCTGCTTGTTTTGTGTTGAACCTCGGCTACAAAAGCACTGCGTTTCGAGTGATGCAATGCCCCAACCAATCGGATTGGCGATTGATTTTTGTGTGGGTCTCGAAACGCGTTGGCTGTGTGTGAGCCGTATGATGCGGCTGGGGATGTGGGGCTTTGTTGCGGAGGAGGGTTCCCTGAACGAGGGAACCCATGGATGGACCATGGTACCCCTCAGGATTTACTCTGGGGGCGCGTTGCTTCAGAATGGATTTTTAACCAGTCGTCATCTGGGGGACTTCGTACCCGTCAGGGCCCGTTTTCGGGTCAAAATCTGCCAGAACCTAGGTTAAAAGCCAGGTTCGAGCAAAAAGAGACCCGAGACCAGCGGAGTCGGTGGGACCCGAATCCGTCAAAGAGGGCGTTCCGGTCAAAAGCCACCCGTTAAAGAATCAGCATTTGGGTAGTTGCTCGTCGAGCATAGCCCCCTGGCGGGAGGCGTGCTTTGACGAAAACAAGGTTCCCGACATCACTATTGAAAATGAAAAGGGATGGCAGGTGGTAGAAATGTTTACGTCTAAATTGTCCAGATCCCCGCGTTCGCCACTTGAAAAATGTTTCGAAACTAGAATTCCAAAATCAATGCCCCGACATACCCTCAAATATTATACGTTCAGGGCAACTAGCCTTCGAACATGGGTTCCGTTCGGCGGTTCGTGTGTTCGTAGCCTGGATGCGACTGCGTTTGTCAAACGATGCCCCAACCAATCGGATTGACGATTTTTTTTCCCGAGTCAGCCTCATACGTGTTGCATCTCAGGCCTGAACTTGAGTGCTGCTGAGCCGTGTGATGCGGCTGAGGATGCAAAACCATGTCAGAATAGAGCGCACGCGAAAGATCAAGGGAACCCATGGTACCGCTCTGAAAGCATCTGCTCTTGTTCCGTGAAGTTGACTAGTAATGTAATGTAAGTACGCGACTCCAACTTGAACCATACACTCCGTCCTCGTACGCGCCAAGGGCCATATCTACAGAGGAAATTACTATGTCAATATAGCATATGATCCATTGTGTGTATCTTTCCCTATTTCGCCATGAGAAGGGATGGAGTGGGCGAGCTCCAAAGGAGATGGCTTCTGTACAAGGCAATGCATTGGTGCGTCCCAAAATACGAGGACCATAAATACGGAGTAGGTATACAGTAGGTACGGCATAGATACGTCTGCTACGGAGTAGCCTTGCTATACGAACAACTATACCTACAATATAGGTGAGATCCACATTTTTGTGACGTGGGGTTGGAAAATGGGCGCGAGAGATATAAAATGGGTGGTGGGCGAGTGAAAGGGGGCGACGGGGGAAGAAAATGGGCGTGACGGGACAGGGGCGAAGGGAGAGGGGAAGGGTAAAGCGAAACTGAATAATAAAAGAGTTTCATGATGGGTGTTTTAAAGGCTAGTAGTGTGCGCCCACTAGGACATGGGTGTCTGACAGAACATGGGTGTGTGACAGGACATGGGTGTGTGACAGGACATGGAAGTGTGACAGGACATGGGTGTGTGACAGGATATAGGTGTGTGATAGGACATGGGTGTGTGAGAGGCCATGGGTGTGTGAGAGGCCATGGGTGTGTGACAGGCCATGGGTGTGTGATATGACATGGGTGTGTGACAGACCATGGGTGTGTGACAGGCCATGGGTGTGTGACAGACCATGGGTGTGTGACAGGCCATGGGTATGTGATAGGACATGGGTGTGTGACAGGACATGGGTGTGTGACAGGCCATGGGTGTGTGACAGGCCATGGGTGTGTGACAAGCCATGGGTGTGTGACAGGCCATGGGTGTGTGACAGGACATGGGTGTTTGACAGGACATGGGTGCGTGACAGGCCATGGGTGTGTGACAGGCCATGGGTGTGTGACTGGCCACGGGTGTGGGACAGGACTTGAAAAGTAGTCATGGAAAATGCGAGCAATGAAGGACGTGCATGTGTGCATGTATGCATGGGCGTGTGTGCATATGTGCATAGGGTTGTATGCAATTATGCAAGTATAGTTTCTAGTCTCGAGGCTGGTAAGCAAGACACGAAATTTGCAGAAGGACAACCTGATTTGATAGCAGACATGACCTAAGAAATCCTATATTCGATTACAGATCCTTCGTTGATCAAACCAATTCTGTTCAATGAATCGAGGCATATTGCAGCTGTGTCGCATGAACCTCGTTGTACCCATTACCGAGTTTCATGGGACAGCACGGGAGGTGCAGGCGCGGAATGTGAGGTTCAGAGAATATTGTAAGCAAGTATATTTAGTGTACATAGCCAACGGCACTTTTGATAAAGGTACAGTGATGGGCGAGTTGGGAGCGGTTGGCCAGGTGGGAAGGAAGCAAGTTGGGGCATGACACGTAAGTAAGCATGAGGAGCGGTTTGGGCAGTGGCTTGCGGCGAATGAGAGAGGTGAGTCGATGGCAGGAATCACAGGGCCATCATAGTAGGAGAAACTCCCAAAACGGCGCGCAGCGGAAGCAGCTGGGAGGGCAGGGTTTGGCTTCGGAGTGGGACTGCTAGGAGGAGGAGCACAAAAGTAGTAAGGAGGGGTAGTTGTTGCTACTCTGTTTGTTCTCTCGTTATCATGGGAAAGCCTGTATGCTCTCTTACTAGTGGATTTACTCTTGAGCAACGCTAGATCCATGTAGGGAGGTCGGACAGAGGTGCAGTTGAGAGGATCAGGATGCGAGATTGAGTCTTGGGCTTTTTCGTACAAACAGAGTTATGGTGGGCATGTCACTGCGTAGCGGCATGCGCCTACCTGTGGGAGAGACTCCCCCGCTGGGGGAGGAGAACGTGTCACCAAACGAAGGAGGCGAAGAACAGCGAGGGGAATCGTCCGAGGATAAGCGCGAATCTCCGCGCGAGAAGGCTGGCGAAGGAGCGCAAGAGTGGGACGAGGAGATTTGTGGCTCTAGCAGTTTCGCCATGCGAGCAGATCGCCATCCGGGAGAAGGAATCCCATCGGCGGGAAGAGGAGGAATCCCTTCGGGCATCGCGGAGCGCAGCAGAGGGGTCTCGGACTCGAGGGCAGCCGGATCCGCAGAGGTCGCCACATCTGCGCGCTTAAGCGAGATGGGTGGCGGAGGTGCCATCGGGGGGAGAGGCGCGTCCGTGGGAGGGCCGTCAAGGCGGTCCTTGTGGGAGGAGGGGACGAGATATTGCTACACCAGCCTTCCGAAAGTGGAGGTTCCAGCTCGCTTTACGGGCGACCAGGAGATTGGGACGCGGCTTAAGGCGTATGTGATGCACATCCACTGCGAGAAGTTCTGCTGGGAGCAAGATGGATTGGACTTAAGGCACTTCTTTCGCTCCCTGGGGAACACGCTGGCCGGAGACGTGGAGGCGTTCTTACTGGAAGTGCGCGATCTGCTGCTGCAGGAAGAGGAGCGGGATGCTTTGGGCCGGGTTTGCTGCGATGAGGAGGGATGGATCTTGATGCTAAGAGATCCGACGGAGAGGTTCCTCGCCGAGCTGCAGGTCCATTTCCCCACGCAGACGCGGCGCGGCTAAGAGAGTTTGAGCAGCTGCGGAGGGCCTCAAGAGAGTCACTGCTAGCGTATTACCGGCGGGTGGATCAGCTGGCTGACGTCATCAGCTGCAACGAGCCACGGATAGTGGTGGCGAAGTTCCTAGATGGGCTGTCGAGAGATCTGGTGGGGACGGTGCGAGACCACACGTACAACCTACGGCCGAACGCCACGCTTCGTCAGGCGTATGCGATAGCATGGCGGAATGAGCAGTCCCTGAGCATGTATGACCTCGGGAAGAGGGCAGAACGGACCATGCCCCACGAGCGTGATCGCAGGGGAGTAAGCTGGGGTGGAGCCATGATGGCAGACAGCGAAGGAGATGAGGAAGGAGGGCTGGAAGGCAGGAATCAGAGGGGACGGGCGAGGAGGGCAAAAAGTGCGACTCCGCCCCCGGGTGAAGAGCCTGTGTGCTATAAGTGCAGGGAGCCCGGGCACTTCAAACGAGACTGCCCCAAGTTGCAATCCTGTACATATTGCCAGCGAAAGGGGCATGCGGCCGACGACTGCTACACGAAGCAGAGAGAGGAACGGAGCCGTGGGGGCAGACGCAGTCGCATAGAAGCACTGGAAGAAGAGCTCAGGAAGCTCAAGGGGGAGGCGGAGGGCAGCGAGGAAGAGGAGGACTAGGGAGCACTAATGGCTTGAACAGACCAAGAGGATAAGGGGGAGCTGCCAGAGCCCTTCTTCATGGCCTCGGGGAGAGATCGAGACCGAGAAGACCTGGGGCTGCGCATCGGGGGCAGAGATGGACGCCGAGATATGCAACAGGGGCACAGAGGGCCGAGGATGGAGCCCTCCCCAGCGGTGCAGCGTGCAGCGGAAGCTGTAGCGGAGGCAGTGGCACGTGCAGGGGGCAGCCATGGGCCACGCATGCATCCCTTTGAGCGTATGGCGGCACGTCCGTGCGTGGTGGAAGCAGTGGAAGGGTCCGTGGAGGTAGAAGGAAATTACCTAGGTACGACGATCATTGACATGGGTGCCTCCCAGGTGCTGATCGGTAGGCGACTGGCCGAGCATTTGGGGCTCCACCAAGAGGAAAACGTGACACCTGAAGGGGTGAGGATACCGACAGCAGAAAGGGGGGGTAGGCAAATGCCTGCCAAGGACCTTGCGTTTGCAGGAGGTAGTGTTGGCTCCCGGGAAAGAGAACGAAGCGAGACTCAGGGTGCACTGCCTCATCTCGGATTCCGATGATTACAATCTATTGCTAGGTATGGAGCTGTTGTAAAAAATCGGGGCAGTCGTGGACACCTGGGCAGAGAAGGTCACGTACCAGCCATGATACTGGGATGCAGACTTACGGCGAGAAGAGAGTACAGCGGCTGTATTGCCCGCTCGGTTCCTGAGAGGGAGACCCGTGTACAGGGAGCCGTCCGCAGACCGGGTGCCTGAAAACCGATTCAAGGATGCTGGAGTGTACCTGGAGAAGAGCAGTGAGAGGCGGAGATGGGAGGAAGCAGCCGGCCCGAGAGTGGAAGAGTGCCGTGAAGCAAAGGGCTTGACAGAGCCCACGTACGATTTTGAGACGGACATCTTGGAACCAGGCAGGCGGGCTGCTCCGGTAACCATGCCCGACGCTCGAGTGTAGTACCCATGCAATGAAGTGGGGGCACCACGTCAGGCCTGGCCCACGCTGGTAGCGACCCCAGGCAGCTATGCCTTCCGGATGCAGGATGGACAGCCAGGGCCCGGAATGGTGCAGGTCCTGTCCACTGGAGAATGGGAGGAACCCTTGGCAGTGGAGCGAGAGCGGGCAATAGGGTACTTGAGAAATGCAACCGCAGTAGAGGGAGTGACGGAAGCAGAGAGGTGGCGAGCTCTAGGGGGAGCGATAGATCAGCACACACTGGTATGGTTGATGTACCGGGCAGAGAAGCGATAGGAGGCAATGCACAAGCGGCTGCTGATGATTTGGAGGTGGAGGGATATAGAAGAAATGCTAGAGGCAGACCCAGTTCAAGCCATGGACATAGCGAAGGCATGGCGAAGGATGAAAGTGGAGGCAAGGGAGGAAGGTAGGCGGGATGAAGAGTGCTTGAATAGCAGAGGAATCAGCCTCTTGGCGAGAGCAACGCAGGAGGCTGAGGAGCGGCAAGATACGAACGAGGAGCTGGAGGCAGAGCCCCCCCCCTTAGGGACGCTCCCCCTGAGGAGAGTCAGTGGGACATAGGGGAGGGGCTGGAGGAGGGACAGAAGGAGGAACTAACGGGGGTACTCGAGAAGGCCAGAGACGCCTTCGCATACTCACTGGCAGAACTGGGCAAGTGTAACCGGACAGAGATGGAGATTGATTTGCAGAGCTCTGAGCCTGTGTATCAAAGGAGACGGAGACTGAGTCCAGGGGATCGCGACATCGCTATAGCCAAATGCAAAGAGGTGCTAGCAGCCAGCTTGATTCAAGAATCAACATCAGAGTATGCAGCGGCAACTGTGGTAGCGGTACACAAGTACTTGACAGGAGAAATGCTAGCAAGACGGATGTGGGAGGATTATCGAGGCCTGAACCGCATGACGAAGAGCGATAGGTACCCCATGCCGATGGCGGAGGAGATTTTTGACAAGCTGGCGGAAGGGAGGATTTACTCAACTTTAGACCTCCGGCAGGGATTCAATCAGATCCCGATCAAGGAAGAAGATAAGGCCAAGACCGCGTTTCACGGTCCAGACCGGCTCTTCGAATAGAACTTCATGCCATTTGGCTTGAAGAACGCCTCTGCAAAGTTTCAAAGAGTAATGGACCAAGTCCTCCAGGAGGTGCCGCGGGCACTGTGCTACATTGATGACGTCGTCATCTACAGCCAGATGACGTAGCTAACGTGGTGGCGACCTTAGCGACTATCCAAAGAAATGCCACTTCGGGGTTACGACAGTAGCTTACCTGGGGTTTCAGGTGGGAGAAGGCGGGCTCTCGGTGCAGCAGGCGAAGGTGGAGGTGGTTGACAGGCTGAAGGCGCCCACGGATTGTAGCACGCTAAGAGCGCAGCTGGGATTCCTGAGCTACTACCGCAGGTTCATCCCGAACTTCAGCAAGACAGCCAAGCCACTAAGTCAGTTGTTGAGAAAGGATGAAGGATGGAAGTGGTGGAAAGAGCAAGAGAGAGCATGGACCACCCTCAAGGAGGCCGTGAAGACGGCGCCGCTGCTGAAGCTGCCTAACCCAGACGAGCCTTTCCTGCTGTACACAGACTGGAGCAGCAGTGGGATGTGCACCGTGCTCTGTCAGGAGGAAAAAGGAACAGAGAGGGTGGTGGCGTACGTCAGCAGGTCATGTAGCCCGGCGGAGAGCAATTATAGCTCGTACGAGGGAGAGGGGTTGGCGGCAGTGTGGGCGGTAGAGCTGTTCCGGCCCTACTTGCAGGGGAGGAAGTTCACGCTGGTGACGGATCACCAACCACTGCTCTGGCTGATGACGAACCAAACCCTGAAGGACCGGAACGCTCGATGGGCTATGCATCTACAGGAGTTCGAGTTCGACGTGAAGCATCGACCGGGGAAAGACTTGCAGCATGTGGATGGCCTAACTCGCCAGAGGCAAGAGGGAGACGAGAGGAGAGAGGTGCGGGCAGAGGCCGCACTTACTTGTATGGCGGTGGCCCTGGAGAAGGAGGGATGGAACCGGAAGACAGAGACAGCAAAGGGCAGTTGAGAGATTTGGGAAGACCAGCCAGTGCTCGCCTGGGGTTCAGGGCAGGGGACCGGAAGGGGAAGAAGTTCCTGAGAGGGTGCGAGTGCGGGGGGGTGCATTACCGATGGCAGACGGATCAGCAGCAGCTGGTGACAGAAGATGGGTGGCGGATAGTGCCACGGCCAGAGGAAAGGGAGGCCCTGATCGTGAAAGTACATACACAGTTGGGGCACTATGCCGTGGAACGGACCGTACAGATGCTGCAGACCATGTACTGGTGGGCGGGCCTGAGAAGAGAAGTGAAGGAAGTGCTGGCCAGATGTGAGCCATGCAGCCAGAGCAAGGCAAAGCTGGAGCGAACCAAGGCAGAGCTGCAGTCTCTACCCATCGGTTCAATCGGGTATCGCTGGTCCTTAGACATGGTGGGGGAAATGCCGCTATCTCGGCGAGGCAAGCAATACATTCCGTGATGATCGAGCTCACGAGCAAGTGGATAGAGGTGGCAGCACTGGCATGGAAGACAGCAGCAGCAGTGGCAAAGGCTTTCACCCAGCAAGTCGTAACCAGGTCGGCGCATGTGGGGAAGTTCTGACGGACAAGGGTGGAGAATTTGCGGGAGAATTCCACGGCCTGCTGCAAGAGGTGGGCATCACCCAGCGGCGGACTTCACGGTACCATCCCCGGGCTGATGGCCTGACAGAGTGAATGGTCCAGACTCTGAAGATGGGCCTGAGGAAGTACTGCAAGGAGGAAGAGCGAAGGGAGTGGGACCAACATCTGCCGTGGGTGGCGGCGGGGTATCGCTTCAGCAAACAGCAGGCTCTGAAGGATTATTCCCCGTACTATCTGGTTTTCGGGAAGGAGCCAGTGCTGCCGGTGGACGCTCCACTGATAATGGTGCAGTCGGTGTCCACTGACGACCCGCGCACCTGGGCGGCGGTGGCAGCCAGATGCGCTAGCTACCTCCGCAGCGTGCTGCCAGCAGCCTTGGAAAATCTGGAAGTGGCGCAGCTCCGTGATGCTCGATGCTACCGACAGCGGAAGGAAGGAGTAGGTGGAGGACCTAGGCATGGGACTGAGCTGCAAATTGGGGATGAGGTGTACCTGAAGGAGCCGCGGCATAATACGCTGGAGTGTGGCCTGAGTAAGCAGCGGTGGGTCGTGCGCAGGAAGGAGGAGTCGGGGGTCCTGACACTACAGAATGCGCCAGGGAGGTCGGTTCAGGATCATGTGACGAATGTCGCCCGAGCATCCGGTTCGCGACCAAGCAGCGGGGGCGCAGGGCAGACCGAGAGGGGGCATGAGTCAGGGGAGTCGAAACTCATCACATACAAGCGTAGGGAAGGCAAAGAATCTTAGGAACCAGGTTAGGCATTGCAGATGAGAGCTGCGGGGAGGGGAGGAGGCTATGCGACAGCTGTCGCATGAACCTCGTTGTACCCGTTACCGAGTTTTATGGGACAGCGCGGGAGGTGCAGGTGCGGAATTAGAGGTTCGGAAAATGTTGTAAGCAAGTGTATATAGTGTACATAGCCGACGAATCTTTCGATAAAGGTACAGTGATGGGCGAGCTGGGAGCGGTTGGCCAGCTGGGAAGGAAGCAGGTTGGGGCATGACACGTAAGTAAGCATGAGGAGCGGTTTGGGCAGTAAAATCAGCGAATGAGAGAGGTGAGTCGATGGCAGGAATCAGGGTGAATGAGGCATGAGAGTGCGAAAGCATCAAAAGCTGTTATGTTGATATGCAATAAGAATCTGGTGACAGGTTTTGACAAAGGAACCTGACTAAGGGTGAATCTGACAATGGGGATTCGACTGTGAATTCCTGAGATGGGAATCTGACAATGAGGTCAGTCATGGAACGTCGGCACTGGGAATTGTAGACGGGAATCTAAAATTACAATTCTGACAATAGAGAACTGACTACGGGGGATTGGGGAATACGAACCTGACATGGAAAAATGAAGCGGGAACATGACATGAGTATATGCCATGGCTATCTAACAACGGAAATCTGACAATGGGAATCATCTGGCTCAGAAATCTGACATAGAATTCTGACAGTCAGCATCTGACAGTAATAATTGAACAACGGGGAATATATAGGATTCGAGCAGCTGGAACGTAGTCAGCTGGAATCTGGGGAAAAAAGAAGAATGAAGTGAGAATCTGACCACGGGAATTGGAAAATGGAATGTGGCTGTGGGTGAATGTGACAATGAGATTCTGACAGATGAATCTGATATGGAAATCTGGCAACGGAAGTCTGACATGGAAAGTTGGCACTAAGAATTGGAAATGGGAATCTGAAAGCGGGAATCTGAGATTGGAAATGACAATGGGAAAAAGATTATACGTACCTGACACGCAAAACTAATATAACATGGGTATACGAGAGCATACGTGACAACGGGAATCAGACCTGGGGCTTGGGAATCTGACTTAAGGATCTGACCTGGGAATCTCACCTAAAAAAACTGACCTGGGAATCTGACCTGGAAAAATGACGTGGGAATCTGGCTTGGGAATCTGACTTGGATAGCTGACTTGGGATTCTGACTAGGAAATCGAACTTGGGAATCTCACCTGGAAATCTCTTGCCGAATCTGACTTGGGAATCTGACTGATTTCGGAAACTGACAGACCTTGGAATCTGACTTGGGGATCTAACCTAGGAATCTGATCCAGGAATCTGACCTGGGATTGTGACCAGGGAATGTGACCTGGGAATCTGATTTGGGAATGCGACTTGGTAATCCGACTTGGGATTCTGACTCGGAAATCTGACTTGAAAATCTCACCTGGGAATTTGACAGGATCATTATGGGATCCTGATAAAGGGAAAGAAAATTTGGAGTGAGATTACTATGCTCATGGCAATAATTGGGAATCTGACCTGGAAATCTGGCTCAAGAATCAGACTTGGGATTCTGACTTGCGAATCAGACTAGGGAATCTGACTTGGGAATCTCACCTGGGAATCTCATCTGGGAATCTCACCTGGAAATCTGACCTGGGAGTCTAACCTGGGAATCTGACTTGGGAAGCTTACTTGGGCATCTGACTCTGGAATATCACGTGGGAATTTCACCTGGGAATCTGACTCGGGAATCTGACTTGGAAATCTGACTCGGGAATCTGACTCAGGAATCTCTCCTGGGAATCTAACCTGGGAATTTGACTTGGGAATCTGACTTGGGAATTTCAATTAGGAATCTGACTTGGGGGAATCTGATTCGGGAACATCACCTGCGAACCTCACGTGGGAATCTGACCTGGGAATGTGACCTTGGGAATCTGACCTGGGCATCTGACCAGGGAATCAGACCTGGAAATGTGACCTGGGAATCTGACTTGGGAATCGGACTCAGGAATCTCACCTGGGAATCTGACCTGGAAATCTGACCAGGAAATCCGACCTGGGAATCTGACTTGGGGGAATCTGATACGGGAACATCAACTGCGAATCTCACATGGGGATGTGACCTGGGAATCTGACCTGGGAATGTGACCTTGGGAATCTGACCTGGGCAGCTGACCTGGGAATACGACCTGGGAAGGTGACCTGGGAAACTGACTGACTTGGGAATGTGACCTGGGAATCTGACCTGGGAATATTATTTTTAGAATCTGACTTGAGAATCTGACTCAGGAATCTCACCAGGGAATCTCACCAGGGAAATCTCACCTGGGAATCTCACCTAGGATTCTCACCTGGAAATCTGACCTGGAAATCTGACCTGGGAATCTGACCTGGAAATCTGACCTGGGAATCTGACCTGGGAATCTGACATGGGAATCTGTCTTGGGAATCGTACTTTGGAATCCGACTAGGGAATCTGACTCAGGAATCTCACGTGGGAATCCGACCTGGGAATCCGACTTGGGAATCCGACAGACCTGGGAAACTGACTGACTTGGGAATGTGACCTGGGAATCTGACCTGGGAATATGATTTTTAGAATCTGACTTGAGAATCTGACTCAGGAATCTCACCAGGGAATCTCACCTGGTAATCTCACCTAGGAATCTCACCTAGGATTCTCACCTGGAAATCTGACCTGGAAATCTGACCTGGGAATCTGACCTGGAAATCTGACCTGGGAATCTGACCTGGGAATCTGAGTTGGGAATCTGACCTGGGAATCTTACTTGGGAATCCGACTAGGGAATCTGACTCAGGAATCTCACCTGGGAATCCGACCTCGGAATCTGACTTGGGAATCTGACTTGGGAATTTCACATAGGAATCTGACTTGGGGGAACCAACTCGGGAACATCACCTGCAAATCTCACGTGGGAATGTGACCTGGGAATCTGACCTGGGAATCTGACCTGGGAATGTGACCTTGGGAATCTGACCTGGGCAGCTGACCAAGGAATATGACCTGGGAATGTGACCTCGGAATGTGACTTGGGAATCTGATTCGGGAATCTGACTCAGGAGTCTCACCAGAGAATCTGACCTGGGAATCTGACTTGGGAATCTGACTCAGGAATCTCACCAGGGAATCTCACCTGGGAATCTCACCTGAGAATCTCACCTGAGAATCTCAACTGGGAATCTCACCTGGGATTCTCACTTGGGAATGTGACCTGGAAATCTGTCCTGGGAATCTGACTTGGGAATCTGACCTGGGAGTCTGACTTGGGAATCTGACTTGGGAATCTGACTTGGGAATCTGACTTGGGAATCCGACTAGGGAATATGACTCAGGAACCTGACCTGGGAATCTGACCCGGGAATCTGACCTCGGAATTTCACATAGGAATCTGACTTGGGGGAATCTGACTCGGGAACATCACCTGCGAGTCTAACATGGGAATGTGACCTGGTAATATGACCTGGGAATGTGACCTTGGGACTCTGACCTGGTCAGCTGACCTAGGAATATGACCTGGGAATGTGACCTGGGAATCTGACTCGGGAATCTGACTTGGGAATCCGACTAGGGAATATGACTCAGGAATCTGACCTGGGAATCTGACCTGGGAATGTGACCTGGGAATCTGACTTGGGAATTTCACGTTGCAATCTGACTTGGGGGAATCTGACTCGGGAACATCACCTGCAAATCTCACGTGGGAATGTAACCTGTGAAACTGACCTGGGAATCTGACCGGGGAATGTGATCTTGGGAATCTGACCTGGGAATGTGACGTGGGAATCTGACTTGGGAGTCTGACCTGGGAATGTGACCTGGAAATCCGACCTGGGAATCTGACTTGGGAATTTCACATAGGAATCTGACTTGGGGGAATCTGATTCGGGTACATCACCTGCGTATCTCACGTGGGAATGCGACCTGGGAATCTGACTTGGGAATCTGACCTGGGAATGTGACCTTGGGAATCTGACCTGGGCAGCTGACCTGGGAATATGACCTGGGAATGTGACCTGGGAATCTGACTCCGACTGACCTGGGAAACTGACTAACTTGGGAATGTGACCTGGGAATCTGACCTGGGAATATGACTTGGGAATCTGACTCAGGAATCTCACCATGGAATCTCACTTGAGAATCTCACTTGGGAATCTCACCTGGGATTCTCACCTGGGAATCTGACCTGGAAATCTGACCTGGGAATCTGACTTGGGAATCTGAATTGGGAATCTGACTTGGGAATCCGACTAGGGAATCTTACTCAGGAATCTCACCTGGGAATCTGACCAGGGAATCTGACTTGGGAATCTGGCTTGGGATTTGGACATAGGAATCTGACTTGGGATTCTGACTCGGGAACATCACCTAGGAATCTCACCCGGGAATGTGACCTGGGAATCTGACCTGGGAATGTGACCTTGGGAATCTGACCTGGGCATCTGACCAGGGAATCTGACCTGGGAATGTGACCTGGGAAACTGACTGACTATGTGACCTGGGAATCTCACCTCAAAATCTCACCTGGGAATCTGACCTGGGGACGTGACCTGGGAATCTGACCTGGGAATCTGACCTGGGAATCTGACCTGGGAATCTGACCTGGGAATCTGACCTGGGAATCTGACCTGGGAATCTGACCTGGGAATCTGACCTGGGAATCTGACCTTGGGAACATTCATTGCCACCTGGCAGCTGTTCATAGGCTGCGATGGCGAGGGGAGGGTGGGAGGGGAGATAGCAGGGCAGGAGGGACGAGGGTTGAGGATAGTAGTAGGGAGGCGGGCGTAGGAAAGGGGGAAGGAAGCTGCTTGGAGCTAGCCTCCTGTGCAGACGACCATTCTGTAAGGTTGTTTCAAATCAACGGGCATTCTGTGTATCAGCGGCACTCTTTCTTTATCTGGTGTAATTTCCTATCCTACCTGTAGCGGCTCAATGCCCAGCTTCCATATCGTAATTTGAAGAGACTCTAAACAGGATGCATGGACAAGGACAGCGTGGCCTTTTGCATGAAAAGTTTTGTATGGAAGCAACTTCAAAAACACCAACTAGTAAATGATTACTACCAGAAGTTTGTACACGGAACAAGGCATTTCTCCAAACCACTACCCCCCCCTCCGTAAACCCCAGCTAGTTGCTGGAGCCTCCAGCCAAGCACCGTCACACTAATGCGTTGCTCCACCCAGTCCAGTACAGATAGCTCTACCCAGGAACGCGTAATCTAGACACATGCGAGCACCAAGGAAAACACAATAGTTGGAGAAAATCTCGCGAATCTCACGAATCCCGTCTCGCGCGATTATATTCCAATTTTCGCTGCGGAACGGGATTCGCGAGATTTTCTCCAATAGTTGTAGGGCCTACCATCGCAAAAATCAGGGACCCAGTTTCGGTAGCGATTTCTTCGTCGCGCGAACAGTAGGCGAGATCGCCTGCGCAAATCGTAGCTTTCAACTTATCGAATTGTATACACTGTAATTCAAGTATGTTTGTCTATACTTGAAACTTAATATACGTAGTTGTTTTATATTGTTTAAGGGCTATGTTTATATGAGCATAATTTCTACAAACTTGAAAGGCTTTATCCTAATCACTTGATCCAATTATACTTGCCTCAGGAGGATAAGGTTGCACATTTAGTAAAAATCAATCAAAAAGATAATCATTCAGCAAAAACGTGCCACGCCTCTCAAAGGACTCTACAACATGGACGGCGCTATAGATGGTGTCCACATCAACAATGTCCCTGTGCAGCCTCGGAGTCCCCGGGAATGTTGCCCACTTGAGCGCCTTACAACCTGTCACGCCGTCATCCCTAACCTGCTCATAGTACTGGACATAGGCCCACCCCTTGTCACTCTGCAAGTGCTTGAACAACAGCAAGACCTCGGGATACCACACCTCATCCCCTGCCCCCCTAATGGCAACATGCGAGAACCAAGGGTCCCCATGGTGTGATGGGTTCGCACGAACGAAGTGGGTGACCCTAGAGTGCCACTCGCGGGGCCCGGCAGGTACTGCTGCCCCTGTGTAAATCTGCAAGGGCGAGGGGCAGGGTGCGGTGATTGAAAATAATGGCAAAAAGGGGGGGCAGGGTGCAGTGATTGAAACTAATGGCAAAAAGGGGGGGCAGGGGGGCTATGCCTTGGCACTACCCAAGTGCCGTGACAAACTTTGATCGAGGGGCGAGGGGTTGGGCAGCAAGGGGGAAGGGAGTAGAGGGGGAGGAAGTGACGCCCACTGGAGAGAGCGAAGGAGGGACAGAGGGTTGAGTGCCATACTGGAGGGAGGGAGGGATGGACCGACAGAGGGGAGGGGGAGGTGAGAGAGAGTTTGCAATGTATGTTGCTGTGGGGAGGGAGGGAGCGGCAGAGGGGAGGGGGGGATGAGAGAGAGCTGTGTAGACATAATGAGACAGGATTTTTCCGTGACGGAGCTGATCAGCCTTTTCGCACAAACGCTTTGATTCCGGCAGGCGGGTCAGTACGGCGACTGCAGAGCGTCCACACCATGAACGATCAGAAACTTCCCTTTGAAAATCTCAGGGTCGTTAATCTGCGCGTTGGCCTTCCCGAACCGCATCTTCCTCCCCCCCCTCAGATTCGCCGCCGCGTCCTCACTCTTGCCCATCTTGCGGCCATTCACGTCCTTGAGCTCACGCGCGTCGCTCATCTCCTGCTCCGAGTAGAGCCCGTCCACCATGTTGGCGCGTAGCCAGTTCCAGTACCCCTTGGCGTCCTCCAGGTCCGCGTTCGGGTTCAGCATCATGCTCACGCCCGCGCCGGCGGAGTCGGAGGTGAGCAGCGCGTCGTCCGCGGGGAAGAGCATGGCCTTGAGGTCCAGCTTGCCGAGCGTCTCGTCCGTCGGATTCCAGTCGCTCTCTGAAGCATTGCATTGCATTGCTCACACCAACACAAGAAACCAGAGCTTGATTTCGTCAACACATGCCATGTGTTGAGGAGAACGAGGACTAATGGTTGAGCGCAAAAGGTGTTGACGAGTTGTAACCCCGGTTTAAACATGCCGAGAGATGTAGCTTTTTACAGAGAGCTTTCATGCTACTTACCCAATTTCGGGATGAAGTGGTCGAGGAAGGTGGTGGTTATCCGGTATTTGCTGGAAATCGCGGGGTTCTTGAGTGCATCGCGCGCGCTCTTCACCTCGGCGATCACCTCCTCCTTGCTGGGCCGCTTCGCCGCCGCCGGCGCGACGAGCACCGCGACCAGCGCGCAAATGCCGAGAATCGCCAGCTGGTTCCACCACGACGCCATGCCTCGCGCTTGGAAAAGAGGGAACGAGAGAATTTCTCGACGGAACGAGTGAAGAGGGGAGAGAAGCTCGAAGTCTTTGAGAGGACTACTCGGCGGAAGAGAGAAGCAGAAAGATCGGGTGTTTCTGGGCAATGTGTGTTCACGTGCTTGTGTGATCATGTATCGAGCAGAACAGGGCTCTGCTTTATGCTCTGGCGATGAGCATTCGTTGGAGCAGAAGCGGCTGGGTTCTCGGCGCGTGAGGTGCGCTGTGGGGGGAAACGAAGGGTTCCGGGACTCACGCTCGAAAATGAAAATGGGTGGCAAGCGGTGTAGAGAATAAACACGCGGTCTCATGCGTTTTATCGTGGTATGGCTGCTTGTTTTGTGTTGAACCTCGGCTACAAAAGCACTCCGTTTCGAGTGATGCAATGCCCCAACCAATCGGATTGGCGATTGATTTTTGTGTGGGTCTCGAAACGCGTTGGCTGTGTGTGAGCCGTATGATGCGGCTGGGGATGTGGGGCTTTGTTGCGGAGGAGGGTTCCCTGAACGAGGGAACCCATGGATGGACCATGGTACCCCTCAGGATTTACTCTGGGGGCGCGTTGCTTCAGAATGGATTTTTAACCAGTCGTCATCTGGGGGACTTCGTACCCGTCAGGGCCCGTTTTCGGGTCAAAATCTGCCAGAACCTAGGTTAAAAGCCAGGTTCGAGCAAAAAGAGACCCGAGACCAGCGGAGTCGGTGGGACCCGAATCCGTCAAAGAGGGCGTTCCGGTCAAAAGCCACCCGTTAAAGAATCAGCATTTGGGTAGTTGCTCGTCGAGCATAGCCCCCTGGCGGGAGGCGTGCTTTGACGAAAACAAGGTTCCCGACATCACTATTGAAAATGAAAAGGGATGGCAGGTGGTAGAAATGTTTACGTCTAAATTGTCCAGATCCCCGCGTTCGCCACTTGAAAAATGTTTCGAAACTAGAATTCCAAAATCAATGCCCCGACATACCCTCAAATATTATACGTTCAGGGCAACTAGCCTTCGAACATGGGTTCCGTTCGGCGGTTCGTGTGTTCGTAGCCTGGATGCGACTGCGTTTGTCAAACGATGCCCCAACCAATCGGATTGACGATTTTTTTTCCCGAGTCAGCCTCATACGTGTTGCATCTCAGGCCTGAACTTGAGTGCTGCTGAGCCGTGTGATGCGGCTGAGGATGCAAAACCATGTCAGAATAGAGCGCACGCGAAAGATCAAGGGAACCCATGGTACCGCTCTGAAAGCATCTGCTCTTGTTCCGTGAAGTTGACTAGTAATGTAATGTAAGTACGCGACTCCAACTTGAACCATACACTCCGTCCTCGTACGCGCCAAGGGCCATATCTACAGAGGAAATTACTATGTCAATATAGCATATGATCCATTGTGTGTATCTTTCCCTATTTCGCCATGAGAAGGGATGGAGTGGGCGAGCTCCAAAGGAGATGGCTTTTGTACAAGGCAATGCATTGGTGCGTCCCAAAATACGAGGACCATAAATACGGAGTAGGTATACAGTAGGTACGGCATAGATACGTCTGCTACGGAGTAGCCTTGCTATACGAACAACTATACCTACAATATAGGTGAGATCCACATTTTTGTGACGTGGGGTTGGAAAATGGGCGCGAGAGATATAAAATGGGTGGTGGGCGAGTGAAAGGGGGCGACGGGGGAAGAAAATGGGCGTGACGGGACAGGGGCGAAGGGAGAGGGGAAGGGTAAAGCGAAACTGAATAATAAAAGAGTTTCATGATGGGTGTTTTAAAGGCTAGTAGTGTGCGCCCACTAGGACATGGGTGTCTGACAGAACATGGGTGTGTGACAGGACATGGGTGTGTGACAGGACATGGAAGTGTGACAGAACATGGGTGTGTGACAAGATATAGGTGTGTGATAGGACATGGGTGTGTGAGAGGCCATGGGTGTGTGAGAGGCCATGGGTGTGTGACAGGCCATGGGTGTGTGATATGACATGGGTGTGTGACAGACCATGGGTGTGTGACAGGCCATGGGTGTGTGACAGACCATGGGTGTGTGACAGGCCATGGGTATGTGATAGGACATGGGTGTGTGACAGGACATGGGTGTGTGACAGGCCATGGGTGTGTGACAGGCCATGGGTGTGTGACAAGCCATGGGTGTGTGACAGGCCATGGGTGTGTGACAGGACATGGGTGTTTGACAGGACATGGGTGCGTGACAGGCCATGGGTGTGTGACAGGCCATGGGTGTGTGACTGGCCACGGGTGTGGGACAGGACTTGAAAAGTAGTCATGGAAAATGCGAGCAATGAAGGACGTGCATGTGTGCATGTATGCATGGGCGTGTGTGCATATGTGCATAGGGTTGTATGCAATTATGCAAGTATAGTTTCTAGTCTCGAGGCTGGTAAGCAAGACACGAAATTTGCAGAAGGACAACCTGATTTGATAGCAGACATGACCTAAGAAATCCTATATTCGATTACAGATCCTTCGTTGATCAAACCAATTCTGTTCAATGAATCGAGGCATATTGCAGCTGTGTCGCATGAACCTCGTTGTACCCATTACCGAGTTTCATGGGACAGCACGGGAGGTGCAGGCGCGGAATGTGAGGTTCAGAGAATATTGTAAGCAAGTATATTTAGTGTACATAGCCAACGGCACTTTTGATAAAGGTACAGTGATGGGCGAGTTGGGAGCGGTTGGCCAGGTGGGAAGGAAGCAAGTTGGGGCATGACACGTAAGTAAGCATGAGGAGCGGTTTGGGCAGTGGCTTGCGGCGAATGAGAGAGGTGAGTCGATGGCAGGAATCACAGGGCCATCATAGTAGGAGAAACTCCCAAAACGGCGCGCAGCGGAAGCAGCTGGGAGGGCAGGGTTTGGCTTCGGAGTGGGACTGCTAGGAGGAGGAGCACAAAAGTAGTAAGGAGGGGTAGTTGTTGCTACTCTGTTTGTTCTCTCGTTATCATGGGAAAGCCTGTATGCTCTCTTACTAGTGGATTTACTCTTGAGCAACGCTAGATCCATGTAGGGAGGTCGGACAGAGGTGCAGTTGAGAGGATCAGGATGCGAGATTGAGTCTTGGGCTTTTTCGTACAAACAGAGTTATGGTGGGCATGTCACTGCGTAGCGGCATGCGCCTACCTGTGGGAGAGACTCCCCCGCTGGGGGAGGAGAACGTGTCACCAAACGAAGGAGGCGAAGAACAGCGAGGGGAATCGTCCGAGGATAAGCGCGAATCTCCGCGCGAGAAGGCTGGCGAAGGAGCGCAAGAGTGGGACGAGGAGATTTGTGGCTCTAGCAGTTTCGCCATGCGAGCAGATCGCCATCCGGGAGAAGGAATCCCATCGGCGGGAAGAGGAGGAATCCCTTCGGGCATCGCGGAGCGCAGCAGAGGGGTCTCGGACTCGAGGGCAGCCGGATCCGCAGAGGTCGCCACATCTGCGCGCTTAAGCGAGATGGGTGGCGGAGGTGCCATCGGGGGGAGAGGCGCGTCCGTGGGAGGGCCGTCAAGGCGGTCCTTGTGGGAGGAGGGGACGAGATATTGCTACACCAGCCTTCCGAAAGTGGAGGTTCCAGCTCGCTTTACGGGCGACCAGGAGATTGGGACGCGGCTTAAGGCGTATGTGATGCACATCCACTGCGAGAAGTTCTGCTGGGAGCAAGATGGATTGGACTTAAGGCACTTCTTTCGCTCCCTGGGGAACACGCTGGCCGGAGACGTGGAGGCGTTCTTACTGGAAGTGCGCGATCTGCTGCTGCAGGAAGAGGAGCGGGATGCTTTGGGCCGGGTTTGCTGCGATGAGGAGGGATGGATCTTGATGCTAAGAGATCCGACGGAGAGGTTCCTCGCCGAGCTGCAGGTCCATTTCCCCACGCAGACGCGGCGCGGCTAAGAGAGTTTGAGCAGCTGCGGAGGGCCTCAAGAGAGTCACTGCTAGCGTATTACCGGCGGGTGGATCAGCTGGCTGACGTCATCAGCTGCAACGAGCCACGGATAGTGGTGGCGAAGTTCCTAGATGGGCTGTCGAGAGATCTGGTGGGGACGGTGCGAGACCACACGTACAACCTACGGCCGAACGCCACGCTTCGTCAGGCGTATGCGATAGCATGGCGGAATGAGCAGTCCCTGAGCATGTATGACCTCGGGAAGAGGGCAGAACGGACCATGCCCCACGAGCGTGATCGCAGGGGAGTAAGCTGGGGTGGAGCCATGATGGCAGACAGCGAAGGAGATGAGGAAGGAGGGCTGGAAGGCAGGAATCAGAGGGGACGGGCGAGGAGGGCAAAAAGTGCGACTCCGCCCCCGGGTGAAGAGCCTGTGTGCTATAAGTGCAGGGAGCCCGGGCACTTCAAACGAGACTGCCCCAAGTTGCAATCCTGTACATATTGCCAGCGAAAGGGGCATGCGGCCGACGACTGCTACACGAAGCAGAGAGAGGAACGGAGCCGTGGGGGCAGACGCAGTCGCATAGAAGCACTGGAAGAAGAGCTCAGGAAGCTCAAGGGGGAGGCGGAGGGCAGCGAGGAAGAGGAGGACTAGGGAGCACTAATGGCTTGAACAGACCAAGAGGATAAGGGGGAGCTGCCAGAGCCCTTCTTCATGGCCTCGGGGAGAGATCGAGACCGAGAAGACCTGGGGCTGCGCATCGGGGGCAGAGATGGACGCCGAGATATGCAACAGGGGCACAGAGGGCCGAGGATGGAGCCCTCCCCAGCGGTGCAGCGTGCAGCGGAAGCTGTAGCGGAGGCAGTGGCACGTGCAGGGGGCAGCCATGGGCCACGCATGCATCCCTTTGAGCGTATGGCGGCACGTCCGTGCGTGGTGGAAGCAGTGGAAGGGTCCGTGGAGGTAGAAGGAAATTACCTAGGTACGACGATCATTGACATGGGTGCCTCCCAGGTGCTGATCGGTAGGCGACTGGCCGAGCATTTGGGGCTCCACCAAGAGGAAAACGTGACACCTGAAGGGGTGAGGATACCGACAGCAGAAAGGGGGGGTAGGCAAATGCCTGCCAAGGACCTTGCGTTTGCAGGAGGTAGTGTTGGCTCCCGGGAAAGAGAACGAAGCGAGACTCAGGGTGCACTGCCTCATCTCGGATTCCGATGATTACAATCTATTGCTAGGTATGGAGCTGTTGTAAAAAATCGGGGCAGTCGTGGACACCTGGGCAGAGAAGGTCACGTACCAGCCATGATACTGGGATGCAGACTTACGGCGAGAAGAGAGTACAGCGGCTGTATTGCCCGCTCGGTTCCTGAGAGGGAGACCCGTGTACAGGGAGCCGTCCGCAGACCGGGTGCCTGAAAACCGATTCAAGGATGCTGGAGTGTACCTGGAGAAGAGCAGTGAGAGGCGGAGATGGGAGGAAGCAGCCGGCCCGAGAGTGGAAGAGTGCCGTGAAGCAAAGGGCTTGACAGAGCCCACGTACGATTTTGAGACGGACATCTTGGAACCAGGCAGGCGGGCTGCTCCGGTAACCATGCCCGACGCTCGAGTGTAGTACCCATGCAATGAAGTGGGGGCACCACGTCAGGCCTGGCCCACGCTGGTAGCGACCCCAGGCAGCTATGCCTTCCGGATGCAGGATGGACAGCCAGGGCCCGGAATGGTGCAGGTCCTGTCCACTGGAGAATGGGAGGAACCCTTGGCAGTGGAGCGAGAGCGGGCAATAGGGTACTTGAGAAATGCAACCGCAGTAGAGGGAGTGACGGAAGCAGAGAGGTGGCGAGCTCTAGGGGGAGCGATAGATCAGCACACACTGGTATGGTTGATGTACCGGGCAGAGAAGCGATAGGAGGCAATGCACAAGCGGCTGCTGATGATTTGGAGGTGGAGGGATATAGAAGAAATGCTAGAGGCAGACCCAGTTCAAGCCATGGACATAGCGAAGGCATGGCGAAGGATGAAAGTGGAGGCAAGGGAGGAAGGTAGGCGGGATGAAGAGTGCTTGAATAGCAGATGAATCAGCCTCTTGGCGAGAGCAACGCAGGAGGCTGAGGAGCGGCAAGATACGAACGAGGAGCTGGAGGCAGAGCCCCCCCCCCTTAGGGACGCTCCCCCTGAGGAGAGTCAGTGGGACATAGGGGAGGGGCTGGAGGAGGGACAGAAGGAGGAACTAACGGGGGTACTCGAGAAGGCCAGAGACGCCTTCGCATACTCACTGGCAGAACTGGGCAAGTGTAACCGGACAGAGATGGAGATTGATTTGCAGAGCTCTGAGCCTGTGTATCAAAGGAGACGGAGACTGAGTCCAGGGGATCGCGACATCAATTGGCCAAATGCAAAGAGGTGCTAGCAGCCAGCTTGATTCAAGAATCAACATCAGAGTATGCAGCGGCAACTGTGGTAGCGGTACACAAGTACTTGACAGGAGAAATGCTAGCAAGACGGATGTGGGAGGATTATCGAGGCCTGAACCGCATGACGAAGAGCGATAGGTACCCCATGCCGATGGCGGAGGAGATTTTTGACAAGCTGGCGGAAGGGAGGATTTACTCAACTTTAGACCTCCGGCAGGGATTCAATCAGATCCCGATCAAGGAAGAAGATAAGGCCAAGACCGCGTTTCACGGTCCAGACCGGCTCTTCGAATAGAACTTCATGCCATTTGGCTTGAAGAACGCCTCTGCAAAGTTTCAAAGAGTAATGGACCAAGTCCTCCAGGAGGTGCCGCGGGCACTGTGCTACATTGATGACGTCGTCATCTACAGCCAGATGACGTAGCTAACGTGGTGGCGACCTTAGCGACTATCCAAAGAAATGCCACTTCGGGGTTACGACAGTAGCTTACCTGGGGTTTCAGGTGGGAGAAGGCGGGCTCTCGGTGCAGCAGGCGAAGGTGGAGGTGGTTGACAGGCTGAAGGCGCCCACGGATTGTAGCACGCTAAGAGCGCAGCTGGGATTCCTGAGCTACTACCGCAGGTTCATCCCGAACTTCAGCAAGACAGCCAAGCCACTAAGTCAGTTGTTGAGAAAGGATGAAGGATGGAAGTGGTGGAAAGAGCAAGAGAGAGCATGGACCACCCTCAAGGAGGCCGTGAAGACGGCGCCGCTGCTGAAGCTGCCTAACCCAGACGAGCCTTTCCTGCTGTACACAGACTGGAGCAGCAGTGGGATGTGCACCGTGCTCTGTCAGGAGGAAAAAGGAACAGAGAGGGTGGTGGCGTACGTCAGCAGGTCATGTAGCCCGGCGGAGAGCAATTATAGCTCGTACGAGGGAGAGGGGTTGGCGGCAGTGTGGGCGGTAGAGCTGTTCCGGCCCTACTTGCAGGGGAGGAAGTTCACGCTGGTGACGGATCACCAACCACTGCTCTGGCTGATGACGAACCAAACCCTGAAGGACCGGAACGCTCGATGGGCTATGCATCTACAGGAGTTCGAGTTCGACGTGAAGCATCGACCGGGGAAAGACTTTGCAGCATGTGGATGGCCTAACTCGCCAGAGGCAAGAGGGAGACGAGAGGAGAGAGGTGCGGGCAGAGGCCGCACTTACTTGTATGGCGGTGGCCCTGGAGAAGGAGGGATGGAACCGGAAGACAGAGACAGCAAAGGGCAGTTGAGAGATTTGGGAAGACCAGCCAGTGCTCGCCTGGGGTTCAGGGCAGGGGACCGGAAGGGGAAGAAGTTCCTGAGAGGGTGCGAGTGCGGGGGGGTGCATTACCGATGGCAGACGGATCAGCAGCAGCTGGTGACAGAAGATGGGTGGCGGATAGTGCCACGGCCAGAGGAAAGGGAGGCCCTGATCGTGAAAGTACATACACAGTTGGGGCACTATGCCGTGGAACGGACCGTACAGATGCTGCAGACCATGTACTGGTGGGCGGGCCTGAGAAGAGAAGTGAAGGAAGTGCTGGCCAGATGTGAGCCATGCAGCCAGAGCAAGGCAAAGCTGGAGCGAACCAAGGCAGAGCTGCAGTCTCTACCCATCGGTTCAATCGGGTATCGCTGGTCCTTAGACATGGTGGGGGAAATGCCGCTATCTCGGCGAGGCAAGCAATACATTCCGTGATGATCGAGCTCACGAGCAAGTGGATAGAGGTGGCAGCACTGGCATGGAAGACAGCAGCAGCAGTGGCAAAGGCTTTCACCCAGCAAGTCGTAACCAGGTCGGCGCATGTGGGGAAGTTCTGACGGACAAGGGTGGAGAATTTGCGGGAGAATTCCACGGCCTGCTGCAAGAGGTGGGCATCACCCAGCGGCGGACTTCACGGTACCATCCCCGGGCTGATGGCCTGACAGAGTGAATGGTCCAGACTCTGAAGATGGGCCTGAGGAAGTACTGCAAGGAGGAAGAGCAAAGGGAGTGGGACCAACATCTGCCGTGGGTGGCGGCGGGGTATCGCTTCAGCAAACAGCAGGCTCTGAAGGATTATTCCCCGTACTATCTGGTTTTCGGGAAGGAGCCAGTGCTGCCGGTGGACGCTCCACTGATAATGGTGCAGTCGGTGTCCACTGACGACCCGCGCACCTGGGCGGCGGTGGCAGCCAGATGCGCTAGCTACCTCCGCAGCGTGCTGCCAGCAGCCTTGGAAAATCTGGAAGTGGCGCAGCTCCGTGATGCTCGATGCTACCGACAGCGGAAGGAAGGAGTAGGTGGAGGACCTAGGCATGGGACTGAGCTGCAAATTGGGGATGAGGTGTACCTGAAGGAGCCGCGGCATAATACGCTGGAGTGTGGCCTGAGTAAGCAGCGGTGGGTCGTGCGCAGGAAGGAGGAGTCGGGGGTCCTGACACTACAGAATGCGCCAGGGAGGTCGGTTCAGGATCATGTGACGAATGTCGCCCGAGCATCCGGTTCGCGACCAAGCAGCGGGGGCGCAGGGCAGACCGAGAGGGGGCATGAGTCAGGGGAGTCGAAACTCATCACATACAAGCGTAGGGAAGGCAAAGAATCTTAGGAACCAGGTTAGGCATTGCAGATGAGAGCTGCGGGGAGGGGAGGAGGCTATGCGACAGCTGTCGCATGAACCTCGTTGTACCCGTTACCGAGTTTTATGGGACAGCGCGGGAGGTGCAGGTGCGGAATTAGAGGTTCGGAAAATGTTGTAAGCAAGTGTATATAGTGTACATAGCCGACGAATCTTTCAATAAAGGTACAGTGATGGGCGAGCTGGGAGCGGTTGGCCAGCTGGGAAGGAAGCAGGTTGGGGCATGACACGTAAGTAAGCATGAGGAGCGGTTTGGGCAGTAAAATCAGCGAATGAGAGAGGTGAGTCGATGGCAGGAATCAGGGTGAATGAGGCATGAGAGTGCGAAAGCATCAAAAGCTGTTATGTTGATATGCAATAAGAATCTGGTGACAGGTTTTGACAAAGGAACCTGACTAAGGGTGAATCTGACAATGGGGATTCGACTGTGAATTCCTGAGATGGGAATCTGACAATGAGGTCAGTCATGGAACGTCGGCACTGGGAATTGTAGACGGGAATCTAAAATTACAATTCTGACAATAGAGAACTGACTACGGGGGATTGGGGAATACGAACCTGACATGGAAAAATGAAGCGGGAACATGACATGAGTATATGCCATGGCTATCTAACAACGGAAATCTGACAATGGGAATCATCTGGCTCAGAAATCTGACATAGAATTCTGACAGTCAGCATCTGACAGTAATAATTGAACAACGGGGAATATATAGGATTCGAGCAGCTGGAACGTAGTCAGCTGGAATCTGGGGAAAAAAGAAGAATGAAGTGAGAATCTGACCACGGGAATTGGAAAATGGAATGTGGCTGTGGGTGAATGTGACAATGAGATTCTGACAGATGAATCTGATATGGAAATCTGGCAACGGAAGTCTGACATGGAAAGTTGGCACTAAGAATTGGAAATGGGAATCTGAAAGCGGGAATCTGAGATTGGAAATGACAATGGGAAAAAGATTATACGTACCTGACACGCAAAACTAATATAACATGGGTATACGAGAGCATACGTGACAACGGGAATCAGACCTGGGGCTTGGGAATCTGACTTAAGGATCTGACCTGGGAATCTCACCTAAAAAAACTGACCTGGGAATCTGACCTGGAAAAATGACGTGGGAATCTGGCTTGGGAATCTGACTTGGATAGCTGACTTGGGATTCTGACTAGGAAATCGAACTTGGGAATCTCACCTGGAAATCTCTTGCCGAATCTGACTTGGGAATCTGACTGATTTCGGAAACTGACAGACCTTGGAATCTGACTTGGGGATCTAACCTAGGAATCTGATCCAGGAATCTGACCTGGGATTGTGACCAGGGAATGTGACCTGGGAATCTGATTTGGGAATGCGACTTGGTAATCCGACTTGGGATTCTGACTCGGAAATCTGACTTGAAAATCTCACCTGGGAATTTGACAGGATCATTATGGGATCCTGATAAAGGGAAAGAAAATTTGGAGTGAGATTACTATGCTCATGGCAATAATTGGGAATCTGACCTGGAAATCTGGCTCAAGAATCAGACTTGGGATTCTGACTTGCGAATCAGACTAGGGAATCTGACTTGGGAATCTCACCTGGGAATCTCATCTGGGAATCTCACCTGGAAATCTGACCTGGGAGTCTAACCTGGGAATCTGACTTGGGAAGCTTACTTGGGCATCTGACTCTGGAATATCACGTGGGAATTTCACCTGGGAATCTGACTCGGGAATCTGACTTGGAAATCTGACTCGGGAATCTGACTCAGGAATCTCTCCTGGGAATCTAACCTGGGAATTTGACTTGGGAATCTGACTTGGGAATTTCAATTAGGAATCTGACTTGGGGGAATCTGATTCGGGAACATCACCTGCGAACCTCACGTGGGAATCTGACCTGGGAATGTGACCTTGGGAATCTGACCTGGGCATCTGACCAGGGAATCAGACCTGGAAATGTGACCTGGGAATCTGACTTGGGAATCGGACTCAGGAATCTCACCTGGGAATCTGACCTGGAAATCTGACCAGGAAATCCGACCTGGGAATCTGACTTGGGGGAATCTGATACGGGAACATCAACTGCGAATCTCACATGGGGATGTGACCTGGGAATCTGACCTGGGAATGTGACCTTGGGAATCTGACCTGGGCAGCTGACCTGGGAATACGACCTGGGAAGGTGACCTGGGAAACTGACTGACTTGGGAATGTGACCTGGGAATCTGACCTGGGAATATTATTTTTAGAATCTGACTTGAGAATCTGACTCAGGAATCTCACCAGGGAATCTCACCAGGGAAATCTCACCTGGGAATCTCACCTAGGATTCTCACCTGGAAATCTGACCTGGAAATCTGACCTGGGAATCTGACCTGGAAATCTGACCTGGGAATCTGACCTGGGAATCTGACATGGGAATCTGTCTTGGGAATCGTACTTTGGAATCCGACTAGGGAATCTGACTCAAGAATCTCACCTGGGAATCCGACCTGGGAATCCGACTTGGGAATCCGACAGACCTGGGAAACTGACTGACTTGGGAATGTGACCTGGGAATCTGACCTGGGAATATGATTTTTAGAATCTGACTTGAGAATCTGACTCAGGAATCTCACCAGGGAATCTCACCTGGTAATCTCACCTAGGAATCTCACCTAGGATTCTCACCTGGAAATCTGACCTGGAAATCTGACCTGGGAATCTGACCTGGAAATCTGACCTGGGAATCTGACCTGGGAATCTGAGTTGGGAATCTGACCTGGGAATCTTACTTGGGAATCCGACTAGGGAATCTGACTCAGGAATCTCGCCTGGGAATCCGACCTCGGAATCTGACTTGGGAATCTGACTTGGGAATTTCACATAGGAATCTGACTTGGGGGAATCTGACTCGGGAACATCACTGCGAATCTAACATGGGAATGTGACCTGGGAATATGACCTGGGAATGTGACCTTGGGACTCTGACCTGGTCAGCTGACCTAGGAATATGACCTGGGAATGTGACCTGGGAATCTGACTCCGACTGACCTGGGAAACTGACTAACTTGGGAATGTGACCTGGGAATCTGACCTGGGAATATGACTTGGGAATCTGACTCAGGAATCTCACCATGGAATCTCACTTGAGAATCTCACTTGGGAATCTCACCTGGGATTCTCACCTGGGAATCTGACCTGGAAATCTGACCTGGGAATCTGACTTGGCAATCTGAATTGGAAATCTGACTTGGGAATCTGAATTGGGAATCTGACTTGGGAATCCGACTAGGGAATCTTACTCAGGAATCTCACCTGGGAATCTGACCAGGGAATCTGACTTGGGAATCTGGCTTGGGATTTGGACATAGGAATCTGACTTGGGATTCTGACTCGGGAACATCACCTAGGAATCTCACCCGGGAATGTGACCTGGGAATCTGACCTGGGAATGTGACCTTGGGAATCTGACCTGGGCATCTGACCAGGGAATCTGACCTGGGAATGTGACCTGGGAAACTGACTGACTATGTGACCTGGGAATCTCACCTCAAAATCTCACCTGGGAATCTGACCTGGGGACGTGACCTGGGAATCTGACCTGGGAATCTGACCTGGGAATCTGACCTGGGAATCTGACCTGGGAATCTGACCTGGGAATCTGACCTGGGAATCTGACCTGGGAATCTGACCTTGGGAACATTCATTGCCACCTGGCAGCTGTTCATAGGCTGCGATGGCGAGGGGAGGGTGGGAGGGGAGATAGCAGGGCAGGAGGGACGAGGGTTGAGGATAGTAGTAGGGAGGCGGGCGTAGGAAAGGGGGAAGGAAGCTGCTTGGAGCTAGCCTCCTGTGCAGACGACCATTCTGTAAGGTTGTTTCAAATCAACGGGCATTCTGTGTATCAGCGGCACTCTTTCTTTATCTGGTGTAATTTCCTATCCTACCTGTAGCGGCTCAATGCCCAGCTTCCATATCGTAATTTGAAGAGACTCTAAACAGGATGCATGGACAAGGACAGCGTGGCCTTTTGCATGAAAAGTTTTGTATGGAAGCAACTTCAAAAACACCAACTAGTAAATGATTACTACCAGAAGTTTGTACACGGAACAAGGCATTTCTCCAAACCACTACCCCCCCCTCCGTAAACCCCAGCTAGTTGCTGGAGCCTCCAGCCAAGCACCGTCACACTAATGCGTTGCTCCACCCAGTCCAGTACAGATAGCTCTACCCAGGAACGCGTAATCTAGACACATGCGAGCACCAAGGAAAACACAATAGTTGGAGAAAATCTCGCGAATCTCACGAATCCCGTCTCGCGCGATTATATTCCAATTTTCGCTGCGGAACGGGATTCGCGAGATTTTCTCCAATAGTTGTAGGGCCTACGGAGCTGATCAGCCTTTTCGCACAAACGCTTTGATTCCGGCAGGCGGGTCAGTACGGCGACTGCAGAGCGTCCACACCATGAACGATCAGAAACTTCCCTTTGAAAATCTCAGGGTCCGTCCCAAAAATTGGGGGCCGGAAACCTATGCACCTGCTTCGCACGTTCGCGGAAGTGCTATGCACCTACTATGCTCGTGAAGGCTATGTCTAAACGTGTTCATCAGTGAAGCATAAACATAGTTCCGAAATGCAAAGCTCATACAAAGCACCTACTTAGTGCGAGGAATGTCGAGGTGCATTGCGTTTACATTGTCCATGCTGATCGTCGTGCTATGATGTTGCGCTAGACGTAGCATGCGCTATGCATGTGCTTTGTGTGCTTTCGTCATTGCTATGTTGATGCTATGCAGACACATAGTATTTCAAGCCTGAAGCATTCCCGCCACAATTCATGTTGTTTTATATCTAGTACACTAGGTGCAGTAATTCTGTATTTACATATTCATATAACATCTTGATTGCACAAATAAAAAATACAACAAAATTGAACTACAAATTCAGCACTTCCGTAGCTCGATTTCGGGAAGGTGACAAATCATGAGAACGGGATAAAAGCGGTGACATGGAAGCGGATCCCGTTCAACGGCTATTTCCACCATGCCTTCAAATTTGCTTCATCAAGGTCGTGACTGGGTTCTGTCCACTCTTTTCCAGAGCCCTGCATGCCAGCTGAGTACAGGGCAGAGAATGCAAGGCGACAAGACAGGTAGAAATTCTAACAGCATAATTCAACTTACGGATTTTGGCATACAGTAGTAGTACAATCAAAATCTTGTCCAGCAAACAGGAAACCGGGACCGGAGGGTGAGTTGATAAGAGAAATAGGACGGGAAACGACGGAGTCAGGATACATTCAGACTTACCGTTTAGGCCGCCATGGTGATAGTGCCCGGATCGAGGATCGCGGCTGGTGCACCATACGGAGGTGC